TTTGCCTCTATACCCCTGGCTCACTCGAGTACACTGAAGGAGAACTATGAAGCGGTGAAGTATGTGCTGGAGAAAATTGGTTATGATCAGCATAAGTGGTTTATTTGTGTTGACCTGAAGATGGTGAACTTTTTGTTGGGACAACAGTCTGGCTTCACCAAGTACCCATGTTTTCTGTGCATGTGGGATAGTAGGGATCGTGCTCAGCATTACACGAAGAAGGACTGGCCTGTGCGGGAGGAATTGGTGCCTTGCAAAAAAAGGAACGCCATCAATGACCCTCTGGTGGACAGAGACAGAATACTCTTCCCACCGCTGCACATCAAGCTCAGCTTAATCAAGCAGTTCACCAAGGCTCTGGACAAGGATGGTGATTGCTTCACTTACTTGTGCCAGGCTTTTCCAGGATTGACCATGGAGAAGTTGAAAGCTGGCATCTTTGACGGTCCTCAGATCCGTCAGCTCATCAGAGATCCAGAGTTCGGAAACTCAATGAACGAAGTGGAACTGGAAGCGTGGAAGGCATTTGTTCTGGTAGTGAAGAACTTTCTTGGCAACAATAAGGCCAGAAATTACGCAAAACTTGTCAACAACATGCTGACTGCTTTTAGAAACCTGGGCTGCAACATGACCGTCAAGATGCACTACCTATTTTCACATATGGACCGGTGTCCTGAGAACCTGGGTTCAATGAGTGACGAGCAGGGGGAGAGATTCCATCAGGACATGAAAGAGATGGAGACCAGGTATAAGGTCACTGGGACGCAGTCATGATGGCTGACTACTGTTGGACTCTGAAGAGACACCTCCATGCCGCTGAGCGTTCCAGGAGTTCCAAGAAATGGAAGTTCAAGCCCTGAAGTTTGAAAAATGGTGAAGCAACATGCAATTTACGTGTACTTACCTTTATCAATGCCCACCATTCAGTTTACAGTAAACCTGACCTGATGGAGAGAAACGGATGCCATTTCCTGATTCAGCAGTGCAAAAATACCCTAAATCAGTTGTAGAAATCTAGACAACATTCAAAAAGTAAAAAATTGTTGCCCAGTGTAATATTTTTTTATTTATACCCTGCCCTCCCCAGCCAAGACCGGGCCATAGCTGTCAAGTGTCCCTTATTTGAAGGGACAGTCCCTTATTCCAGCGCCATGTCCCGCTGCTGTCCCTTATTGATGGATGTCCCTTAAATGTCCCTTAAAGGATGCCCCTTAAATTTCAAAGGAAGCAGCTCCTCTCCCTCCCTCCCTGCCGGCCAGGTTGGAGGGAGGCTCCAACTGTGTTGCTTGGCTGTGTTGTTCACCCAATAAGAAGTCTAAGAACGACTGGGGGGTGGAGCTTGCATGCCTTGTGTGTGGCTAGTTAATGCAAGCTGAGGGGGTTTTTGAATGCTGGACGCCATTTTGTTGCACGTGCTGCTGCAAACTTTGCAGTGCAAAGCCAGGCTGGGGAGCCATCTTAAGTTGAGGCTGCATAGGCCTTGTGGTGCATGTGATTCAGATTCTAGTCAGTTGAACCTCTGGTTACAAAGTTGGTTGGACAGTGTTCTCGAAGCTACCCAGCATGAGTTTGACCAGACGGCAGGAGGACAGGAAGACTGGAGTGCCTGGAACAGGTGAGGCTGCAGGTCCCTTATTTGGGCTGCTGGTCCCTTATTTTCAAGGCTGCTGGTCCCTTATTTTCAAATCTGTAAGTTGACAGCTATGGACCGGGCTCAGGGCGGCTAACAACCAATAATAAAAACAAGTTGATTAAAATACAATTTAAAAGATTAAGATACAACATTAAAACATTAGAATGCAGCCTCTTCACAGGAGGAGAAATGAAAAAAGAAAGAGGGGGAGGGAATCAAGTTGATTCTAAGCCAAAGGCCAGGTTGAACAACTCTGTCTTACAGGCCCTGCGGAAAGAAATCAGTTCCCGCAGGGCCCTGGTCTCGTGAGACAGAGCGTTCCACAAGGCCGGGGCCAGTGTTGAGAAGGCCCTGCCTCTGGTTTAAGGCTAATCTAACTTCCTTAGGGCCCGGGACCTCTAGGGTGTTGCTATATATGGACCTTAACGTCCTCCGTGGGGCATACCGGGAGAGGCGGTCCCGTAGGTACGAGGTTCCTAGGCCGCGAAGGGCTTTAAAGGTCAAAACCAGCACCTTAAATCTGACCCTGTACTCCACCGGGAGCCAGTGGAGCTGGAAGCACTGGGTGAATGTGCTCCTATGGCAGAGATCCCGTGAGGAGCCTCGCTGCAGCATTCTGCACCCGCTGGAGTTTCTGGGACAGCTTCAAGGGCAGCCCCGTGGAGAGCGAATTACAGTAGTCAAGCCTGGAGGTGACCATCGCATGGATCACTGTGGCCAGCATGACTAAGCCGCTTCTGGCGAACCAGAGCAACGCACGGAAACGCTGTTTACCTTCCCGCCGGAGCGGTACCTATTTATCTATTTGCACTTTGACATGCTTTTGAACAGCTAGGTTGGCAGGAGCAGGGACCGAGCAACGGGAGCTCACCCCGTCGCGGGGATTCGAACTGCCAACCTTCTGATCGGCAAGCCCCAGGCTCTGTGGTTTTCACCACAGCACATATGTCTTTTTCAGTAGATTTTATTAAAGCTTAAAAGAAGGTATGCGAAGATTAATATCAACTGCAAAAGACATTTTATCAATATCCAGTAAAAAGGTAAAGGGACCCCTGACCGTTAGGTCCAGTTGTGGCCGACTCTGGGGTTGCGCACTCATCTCGCTTTATTGGCCGAGGGAGCCGGTGTACAGCTTCTGGGTCATGTGGCCAGCATGACTAAGCCGCTTCTGGCAAACCAGAGCAGCGCACGGAAATGCTGTTTACCTTCCTGCCGAAGTGGTACCTATTTATCTACTTACACTTTGACGTGCTTTCGAACTGCTAGGTTGGCAGGAGATCAATATCCAGTGGTGGATATTAAATATATATGCAATTCACAAAGAATCATAGAATTGTAGAGTTGGAAGAGACCACCAAGGGCCATCTAGCCTGTAGGACCAGTCTGGATAGTTAGCATTGGTAAAGACTTGACATTTTTATCCCCAAAAAAGTTTTTGAGGCTGCATTTTAATGTTGTATTTTAATCTTGTTTTTTAAGCTGTATTGCAATCAATTTTTTTATATTTGGTGTTAGCCGCCCTGAGCCTGGTCTTGGCTGGGGAGGGCGGGGTATAAATAAAATTTATTATTATTATTATTAGCCTGATATGTACTCAGCTCAATCCTAGAACAATAGGATCCAGAATGCAGCAGTCTGATTGGTCCGCACAAGCAACCCAATCCATCTCCAGGTGGAAGTGAATCAGCGACCTGATTGGCCTGCAGGAGCAGCCAATCAGGCAACTGGAGGAAGTGAATCCAAAACCTGATTGGCCTACAGTAGCAGCCCGCAATTAGCCAATGATGCGGGGCCCATTGTGTATATAATGTACTATATATATAGCCAGACGTTTTGGGGAAGGTTTCATTCATTGCTACTAAGACCTGAATAAAGAGCATGAAATTCACATTCGACTTGGAGTATATTTCATAGCCCAACCTCCTGCATTGCAAGAATCTCAGCTAAAGCATCCATGACGGATGGCCACCCAACCTCTGCTTGTTGTTTAGTCATTTAGTCGTGTCCGACTCTTCATGACCCCATGGACCAGAGCACGCCAGGCACTCCTGTCTTCCACTGCCTCCCGCAGTTTGATCAAACTCATCCTGGTAGCTTAGGGAACACTGTCCCACCATCTTGTCCTCTGTTGCCCCCTTCTCCTTGTGCCCTCCATCTTTCCCAACATCAGGGACTTTTCCAGGGAATCTTCTCTTCTCATGAGGTGGCCAAAGTCTTGGAGCCTCAGCTTCAGGATCTGTCCTTCCAGTGAGCACTCAGGGCTGATGTGCAATTCAGTGGCCCAGGAGTAGATGGTTTTTTAGACTCACAGAAGGAGCAAATTTGTCTCCTGTTGCTCCAGGAGGTAGGAGTTGAACCCAATGGGGTTCAATTGGCAAGACAAAGGATTTAAAGGAATTCCTGGTGGTTATTAGCTGTCCAACTGCCTCAGAGGATGGTGAGACCACCTTCATGGCATACTTTTTCTTTTAATTTTGGAACTCTTTAAGTAATATTTTTTTGTTTCATAAAAAGTGTCTATGCTAATGCAATTCTGGTTCTAAACACAGCATAAGGGGTTTCTGTAGTATAGTGTGTTTTAAAATGGGGTTTTAGAGTTTTTAGGGGTTTTTGAATGTTTTATGTAGTAGTTTTTATCTAGTTTTATGTAGTTTTGTGGTAGTTTTATGTAGTTTTGTGGTAGTTTTATGTAGTTTTTATGTAGTTTTCAATTTCATTGTTCCGCAAGGGACAATGTCAATAAAGATATGGTATCGTATCACTTTGTTGTCAAAACTGATAAACTTTGGAGCGGTTTACAAAAAGAACACAACGATGAAATTACATGGGGGGAAAACCCTCAGTCTAAAATAACTATTTAAAACATTAATTTTTTTTTTAATCCCTCTTGTCATTCCTGGCAGATGGACTAGATGGCCTCTGGGGCGCCCTCCAAATCTAGGACTATTGAGAAATTCATGGAGGAGGAAAAATGTTATCCAGGATTATGAACTGTGAGGGCTGAGTGGAGCCTCCATGTTCAGAGGCAGTCAGCAGGCCAGTAGGGAATGTTGTCATCCGGGTCTTTCAAAATCTCAACGCCCCCCCCCCCCCACTTTCCCGCCTGAGAGCGCGCACGGCCACGCAGCTGGAGGCTCCGCCCTCTTTCGCGGAGCCCCTCGCCCAATGGCAGCGAGGCACGCTCGGAGCCGTCCAGCCCATTGGCTCCTGGACCTAGGACGGACGTTCAGCCTTTTGCCCGCCCCGTCGCTTGCGCGCGCACCTTCGCTTTCTCTCCAACGGCTCCCTCCTTCGCTCGCGCCGGCGTCGGGCGGGAGGAAGCCCCGCCCCCGCCCCCTCCCGCCCTCCTTAGAGCGAGTCCCTAACAACGAGCAAGCGGGAAGAGAGCGGCCCCGGGGGCGCATGCGCATGCGCGCTTCTCCTCGACTCGGGAGGCTCGCTCGGGAGCGGGAGGGAGAAAAGAGGGCGGGGGGCGCTGAAAGGGGCGGAGCTTTAAGCCAACCCCCCCCCCCACTGTTGCCATTACTAGCGCCCCCGACTCCCTTCAACTCCCCACAGCCATGGAGGGGCCTGAGAAGGAGGAGGGCCAAGTTCCCGTGAGTATGAGGGGGTGGGGGGCTTTAATATGGGGTGAGGGGATTTAATTGGGGGTGGGGGGTTTAATTGGGGGTGAGGGGCTTTAATTGAAGGCGTGGGGGCATTAATTGGGGGTGGGGCTTTAATTGGAGGGGTGGGGATTTAATATGGGGTGAGGGGATTTAATTGGGGGTGAGGGGCTTTAATTGGGGGTGGGGGTTTAATTGGAGGGGTGGGGGATTTAATATGGGGTGAGGGGATTTAATTGGGGGTGGGGGCCTTAATTGGAGGTGGGGGTGGTTTAATTGGGGGTGGGGGAATTTAATTGGGGTGAGGGGATTTAATTGGAGGTGTGGGGGCTTTAATTGGGGTGGGGGTTTTAATTGGAGGGGTAGAGGCTTTAATTGGGGGTGGGGGCTTTAATTGGGGTGGCGGAATTTAATTGGGGGTGAGGGGCTTTAATGTGGCTGGGGAAACCCAGCCAGATTAATATAACATTATTATTATTATTATTAATATTACCAATATTATTATTATTATTATTATTATTATTATTATTATGGAGGTGAGGGAGCTTTAATGGGGGCTTTAATTGGGGGTGGGGCTTTAATTAGGGGGAGAGGGCTTTCAGTTGGGGGGCTTCTTTTAAGGGCATTTCACTGCCCCCCTCCCTTTCATAATAATGTGGGGGGATTTTCGTGCTTGCATGTGTAGAAATGCATCAGAAAGGAAAATCCTATCCCCCCATATTAAAACAAAAAGTTATAAATGATGTGTCTGTGTCTGCGCACACTTTGAACTTGCAGACCCCCCCAAATGTGTTTCCCATGGTGCTAGTCCACAGTGTGGAGCAGGGAGTACCTTGTCCCGTCCCCCCCCCCCGTCCCCCGCAAATCTCTACCTCTCTTGGTTTATATCAGAGCTTTCCGAACTTTTCATGTCGGTGACACACTTTTTAGACATGCATCATTTCGCGACACAGTAATTCAGTTTTACTAGCAAACTGGAGGTTTAGCTAACTCCTTATGAGAGCTTTCGCTTGACACAGCTAACCGTTGCAGCTGACACACTAAGGTGTCGCGACACACAGTTTGGAAAGCTCTGATTTATAAGGATGGTATGTTCTATCTTGGGTTTATAACCTTTTATGCAAACTGTCTGATACGTACAATAAGTTGGCTGCTGTTTTTGTTGCTCAGGTTTGTGTCTTTAGATATGGCACATTTCCTTCACCTGGCATTCAGTGTAGGAGTTCTCATTAATACAGTGCATTTGCATGCCCTTGGTTAGATTTGTTAAAAGTTAAGTTTGCTTTTAATAAGTCTTTCCGCTGGTAACATCCAGTCTTACCAAAATTATCTTATATCAGTGATAAATTAATCTTGGGATTTGTATTTAATCATTAAGGGTAGGTTCATCTTGTAGCTCTATAGGAATGTTGTTTTGCGTGGCGAGTTCCCGCCTCCCCCCAGTAGGAATAAAGAGACAGGACACAATTATTTAAGGTTAATGGGCTAAAATTGGCCGCAACTTTATTGGTTACAGATAAGAGCGGTATTGGCTTAGGCATTGGTCCTATCAGACTATCCTTCTTCAGCCTGTTTGCTTGAAAACCGGGAAGGGTTAACACCAGCAGAGGGAGCCCTGCTGATGAACATCAACTAGGTACTCCCCCGGGTCACCGACCGGGGGCGCGCTTTAGGTCCTGGCCTCCATAGGCTTCGGACGAGGCAACGCCCCCGGAATCCTTTACCGGACTACCCTTCAACATTTGGGGGAGGTGATGGCGTTCCTCCCCCCCAAGACATCTACATAACAATACCCCTACCAATGCCTAACCACCAAAACCAAGGAGTTGTGATGATTTGCTACGAGGTAGGTGAAAAACCAAATGGCCAGTGCCAATTTGCCAAGTGGAAAAAATTCCTACCAGGCCCCGTAACGGCGACCAACCAAAGTCCATAGCAAGTTCAGAAGGGAAACCTTAAAGGGCGGGCAGGTGGGAAACCACAACAGCTGCGCGGACCAAAGAGGGAGATCCCTGGGCCGCGAGGCCTGAGGATTCCCCGGATCGCGCGGGGCTGGAAACCAGCCTCCGTGCGCGTGTTGGGGGCGTGAGCCCGCAACCCCACCTCCTCCTGATGTCGGAAGTGGCTTAACAGAACAGGGGCAGCCAAACTGAAGGCCCTGCTTAGAGTTGCTGCGGCATGGGCTTCTGATATTTTAGGGACTTAAGGGAGAATCTGTCCTGCGGAATTTAGTGACCTACCATATATGAAGGATAAGTTGGTCTCTGAAGTAATGTAGTCCTGAGCTGCATAGGGCCTTATATCTTCTTGCCAAAATCTCATAATTGGCCTCGCCGCAGGTTGGCGACAATGCAAGGAGTTAAGCTGCCTTCAGGCATCCTGGGTTTTGATCTCTGCACCAACAGCAGCCCGTCGACCATCTTCAAGGGTAGCCCCACATACAGCCCATTGCGGTAATCCGAATTAGCGTTGTTGCTTTCATAATTGAAGGAAAGACACTAGGAGTTTAGCAGGGGATGTGGGATTTGCAAGTAAACTGCTTACAGTGTGCCTGAGTGAAGTTTATTTTATTATTTGCTATAATTGTTCTCCAGTGAAAATTCCCAGGGCATTTTATAATGGAGAGGAGAACAGAAATGTAGGAAGGGAATCACTTGCCCTTTTTCAAAAGCAAGGCACGCCAGCTGTGACCTTCTTTTGAGGTCTTGCTGAGCAGATACTTTCCTTGCAAATAAATATGTACTATTTTTATTTTGCCGTGAATTTTCAGTCCTGCATATGGGCCTGTGTGTTTTCAAAAAATAATATGAAAATTAGTTTTATTTTACACTGGCCACATTCGGAAGTAACAGTTCTCCCTTCCTGCCCAGCAAACCATGGAGCAGCTGGCTTAGAATTATACTTGTAGCTTTTCAGAAACAAACCACATGTTGCTGGTTTGGGTGTAATGCTAAGTTGGCCGCTCCTTGGTTTGTCCCTATGCTAGGAGGAAGGAGGTGTGAAGTATCATCTGGAATGGTGGTGATGGTGTAAAGTTTTCAGATCTGTTTGCCACTGCTTTGTGGATGCCTGTGACTTTAATTTCTGGAAGTCAAAATATGTATTTGTCTAGGCTAGGAGGATCCTCTAAACCAGGGTTTCCCAAACTTGGGTCTCCAGCTGTTTTTGAACTACAGTTCCCATCATCCCCTACCACTGCTCCTGCCAGCTGGGGAATCATGGGAGTTGTAGTCCAAAAACAGCTGGAGACCCAGCTTTGGGAAACCCTGTTCTAAACCATGGAGAACCATCGTGAACTAGTATTATGGATGTGTGAGCTCTGTTGTGGCATACAGTACTTTTTATTTTTTTATTTTTTTAAATAATATTTATTGAGATTTAAAAGATTACAAAAAGAAAAGATAGATAACAACATGTTAAACAGAAAAACAAAGCATCATATCACAATATCAAAAAGAGAAAAAAAAGAAAAAAGAAAAAGAAATACAAAAATATATACAACAAATCTTCCCATAATTTATCTTTCATTTGCTTATTTCTTTGACCTCCTCATGCTTCCCCTTTTTGTATTCTAGTTCAATTAGCTATTTCAGCAAGACCTTTCCATCTTTTCCAGTTTTTATCCTCTATTTTATCTTAATATATTATAGCTTTACTTTCCCTCCTTTCACCATTTAACAATCTATTTTTTCTTAAACCTTTATAGCATTTCTGCTATAAAGTACTTTTAGTGGCATTCTAGTGGGAGGGTAGAGTGGATGCAGCCTTTTGCCCCATGTGTTTGTGGGGTAGCTGTGGATGGTTGTCACCTAACTTACTCATGCTTGAGCGAAAACATTGCTTCTACAGGCATCCTGGTTTGAGCATGTTTGTTCTGAAGCAAGTCCCTACTGAAGTCCAATTAGACATGTTTATGTTTGGGGTGTAAATTAGTATCTTCAGCTGTCGATGTTCGCAGCCGTTCTTGATTTTTTTTTATTAAGCATAACATGTAATTATCAGAGCCTAAGAGAGGCTTGATATTCACTGCCAGTTTTCAAGCACAGAAAATCAATTCGGACTCTAGTGAACCTAGGGATGAGTGATACTTCAAATTGAAATAATCCAAATTCCCTTCTATTTGTACCTGGAGTGGGTTACTTCCTACCTGTGAGCCAAATCAAAACCCTTTAAAACTGCATCTCTTGCAGTTAATTCATAGTTTTAAACAATTAAATAGTGTGATTTATATTTGTTCCCAACCCGTCTCTACTCTCTAGGGTGTATCATTAGTTTTGTACTTCTGAGAGAGACTAGAAGGAGTTAGCTGTGGAGCAAGGCAGGGCTTCACATGAAATTAAACTCAGGATGTGTCTGTCTTCCTTCCACTTGCCTCTGTCTAGATTCTGTTGAATAAGCAAGGTTGACCTGTGAGTGTTGCTGAAATAGTATGCAAGCTTTAATGCTATACAGAAGACTTCACCGGGCTGAAAGAACTTTTTTATTCTCAGCTAATAAACTTGTTGGCAAGACAGGCAGGAGCGATGCCCACCATTTTACCTGCTTGAAATGAGATTTTTGGATTTTTTTCCTTTAAAATATAAAGCGCTATAGAAATGAAATTAATAAAGATAATGCCAAGGTGCTTAAACATTCCATTGTGCCATTTGGCGATTAGCTTATATATCTGTTTCTAACACTGTGTCTGGTACAGTGGTGCCCCGCAAGACGAATGCCTCGCAAGACGAAAAACCCGCTAGACGAAAGGGTTTTCCGTTTTTCGATGCGCTTCGCAAGACGAATTTCCCTATGGGCTTGCTTCGCAAGACGAAAACGTCTTGCGAGTCTTGCGATTTTTTTCGCTCCCCCCCTTTTTCTAAGCCACTAAGCCGCTAATAGCCTTTTAGCTGCTAAGCCTTTAATAGCCGCTAAACCACTAATAGCGCTAATCCGCTAAGCCGCTAATAGGGTTGCTTCGTAAGACGAAAAAACCGCTAGACAAAGAGACTTGCGGAACGGATTATTTTTGTCTTGCGAGGCACCACTGTACAACCCTCCCTTCAACTTCTGTGTGGCAGACAACGCAAGTATCGGAGTTCTGGGAAACCTGAATAATCCTGGCATACTGCACAACTCCTTTGGTTAAGCAGCTAGAGCAAATACTTTATTTTTCTTGGCAACAAGGTTTTGTGACCTGTCAAAATATCCCAGTCAGGAACTGATCAGTGGAGGTGCTCATTGCACAGTACGCGTCCTTTGCTGACTGTTTCCACTCCAATTAGGAGTTAGCTAATTCTGAGGGGACAGGTGGATTGTGCCACACATGATAAACTCTGCTGGTTCTATAGCATTGGCTGCATTCAGACCTCATTATAAACTGTTGTTTATTGTAATGGGAGCAAGGCTAGACACCCTGCAGGAATCCAGAAGCTTTTGCTTCCAGTTACAATTAGCTAAAGTTTAGTGTTGTTTCAAACCCTCTGTAAGATTGTTGGTTCTTCTGAATCTCCATGCATGAAAGTTCACAGGTAGCTGCGGTGTTAAAACCTGCTTTTGGTTGTGTATGATGTCAGGTTTAGACCATCAAAGCTATTTCCCCCTCTGAAATGTAGTTTTGGGCTGTTCTCTAGGGCTGGGCAATGTCTGGTTTCCAGCATTGCAATACTGTATAACACCAGCTAAACATTGTGATATACCGATATATCACAATGTCTGTAATAAGGGTGGAACTACGTAGAGGCATAGGGACTCAGGTGGCGCTGTGGTCTAAACCAGAGAGCCTAGGGCTTTCCGATTGCAAGGTTGGCAGTTCGAATCCCCACGACGGGGTGAGCTCCCGTTGTTCGGTCCCAGCTCCTGCCCACCTAGCAGTTCAAAAGCACGTCAAGTGCAAGTAGATAAATAGGTACCGCTCCAGCGGGAAGGTAAACAGTGTTTCTGTGCGCTGCTCTGGTTTGTCAGAAGCGGCTTAGTCATTCTGGCCACATGACCCGGAAGTTGTCTGTGGACAAACGTCGGCTCCCTCGGCCTATAGAGCGAGATGAGTGCGCAACCCCAGAGTCGTCCGCGACTGGACCTAACAGTCAGGGGGTAAAGGTAAAGGTAAAGGGACCCCTGACCATTAGGTCCAGTTGTGGCCGACTCTGGGGTTGCGGCGCTCATCTTGCTTTATTGGCCGAGGGAGCCGGTGTACAGCTTCCGGGTCATGTGGCCAGCATGACTAAGCCGCTTCTGGCGAACCAGAGCAGTGCATGGAAATGCCGTTTACCTTCCCGCCGGAGCGGTGCCTATTTATCTACTTGCACTCTGACGTGCTTTCAAACTGCTAGGTTGGCAGGAGCAGGGACAGAGCAACAGGAGCTCACCCCGTCACGGGGATTCGAACCGCTGACCTTCTGATCAGCAAGTTCTAGGCTCTGTGGTTTAACCCACAGCGCCACCCGCTGTGGCGGTAAAGGGGGTACCTTTATCTTAATGTAGAGGCATGGGCTGGCTTCATGGTTTTCCCTGCATTGTGATTTTGGCATAACACACACATACGCACACACACCATGGTTCACGATATTGCCAGATCAAACATTATGAAACCAATATCGCGATAGGCACTTCAAGCCAGGTTTGGATGATATATTGCCCAGCCCTACTTTTCGCTCCTTGCCTGCTAAACTGCAGTACATGCTTACCCAAAGTCTTCGAAAAGAACAAGGGGAGTGAACAAGCCAACAGGCACATTTTCTTTCCCTAGGATGCATATTTCCTTCCTTTATTCATGGCGTGGAATTTTCTGAATGTTTGTGGCTGTAAAACTATCAAGAATTTCTCATCCTCTTCTTGGTTGTCTCCTGTATAACGATTTCTACTTTTAACGCTGAGCTGTTACATGCAAAAGGTCCCAGTCATCTCTCCTGGTAGGACTGTGCAGGCTTCTTTTCCGAAACCTTGGAGAGACGCTGATAGTTGGTGCCAAGAATACTGAGCTAGATGGACCACTGGCTTGATCTGTATGAGACAGCTTCCTAGGTTCCTTATTTATTTTCTCTCAGCTCTGTGTTTACTGCTTGAATGATCCATTTCTTTAGGGACAGCATTTCCCTAGGGACAACATACATGGGTCTTAACATTTATTCCAGTTTAGGTTGATGGTTTCACATCTTCACTGTTTACAGTAGACTCTAGTCTGGTTATCTATTATTTGCCTAGCCTGAAATCATTGGTTGTTCTTTTAGTTTTCTTAAATACAGCAGGTACTTGAGAGTTTTTCTGCCTTGCCCATTGATCGATACAGCTGTGATGAAATGAGCATAGTTCATAGCTGTCAGTGTCTCCCCCCCCAAAAAAATATATTTTAGTGAAGAGAACTAATTCTTGCACTTTCAAAATCTGACAAGGTTTTCTTCCCTTAGCTTAATTACATGCACATCCCGGGAGAGGGATTATTCCAGTTTCATTAATTTGAAGTTATAAGTCTATTTGTTCCTGTTTGTTTTTCTGGCTGCTACCAAAGTAAATATTTTTTTTAGAGTTTATGCACCCAATGGTGTAACTTCTTGGATATTTGTATTCCTTCTGCATTGCTCTTTCATTTCCTCATCCCTCCCCACTTTCTTTGACAACTAGTCATATGAATGTATTGTTGCTGTCAGCTTCTTCCAGTTACTAATGTGGCAGTTTTTGAGCCTCTAGTTAATTAACTTTCTTTTGAGATATGAAATATTCTATTTGGTGTTCATTACTGGCATCCATTCCTTCAGACACCTCCAAAGAATTATTGTTAATACTTAATCTGTGTGCTTGCAGTGTGTAACCGTACAGATTTGAATTATAGTATCTTCATTCATGATGGTAGCATATGCCTTGTGTATATATCACTCCCCAGGGTTTTACTGTAGCTCTGTTCTAAATGTATTTGTTGTATTTGTGTTTTTAAGTGCTTCTAACTATCTTATGTGTGTAGAAGGCAATTAATAAGTGAATTCTAGTAATAAAAGGAGGAAAGCAGCCTGAATGAGTAGGAGGCTCTTTGGGATCAACTAGCAACGTTTGTGTATTTGCTTCGGCATGGAGGCTTCCCCTCAGTCTGTATCAGGATATAACACGATGTGATAATTTGTGAAAGTTGTCAGGGTGAGGCAGACAACCGAATCTCACAAAGGTCTCAGTCTTTATGACAGCAGTATAGCTGAGGCTTAGGGCATGGCTCCCTCCACCTGGCAGTTGGGGGGTGGGGGGAGGCCTTGCCGTGTTGGTGCTTGCTGGGTCTACATTCCTGTGCTGAGATATTTGAAATATCTCACTGCTCTGGGTGCCCCAGGCCCCATTCATTCTCCTGACAAGGACGGTTACAGCTACGGTAAGTCCTGAATTCTCTATATACTGCTTGGCTCTGAAGTAAAGGCACGCCAACCCCAAATGCCGTGGATCCTGTTGGGTGAGTTAAATTTATATACAGTGGTACCTCGGGATGTGAACGGGATCTGTTCCGGAGCCCCGTTAGCATCCTGAACAGAATGTAAGATGCTACAGCTTGTGTGCGCGGGTCGCGTTTTGCCGCTTCCGCACATGCGCGTGACGTCATTTTGACCGTCTGCGTATGCGTGAGCGGCGAAACCCGGAAGTAGCACGCTCCGTTACTTCTAGGTTGCCGCGGAGCGCAACCTGAAAGCGCTCAACCTGAAGCGTATTTATCCCTAGGTATGACTGTAAAACACTCAGCATTAGATGCTGGCGAAGGGAAGCCTAGTCTCCTGTTTTGGAATTCGGAAGGATCTCCCTTCTGTCTGGTTGCCAGATCTCTTTTATAGGGTTTCCACTTTACATCAATCAATTTGGCATATGGTGCTCAAGGATATGATGAGATGCTGATGCAAAGAAGTAGGAGGCAAAGCAGGCTGTATGAGAAGCAAATATTGTAAAGGACCCCTCCAATCACAGTTAGCAGATCCTTTCATAGAAACTGGATGTCCCATTTTTTAAATAGGTAGCAGTCCTTTCCTAACTGTCTGTCATGGTCTCCGTCCCTCCCGTTTTACCTTTGCTGTCGCCGTTTCTTAAACTCTCTTCCTTTTTGCGGCGCTGCCATAGTATCAAAATAACTCTTTGCCATCACAGCTCGCTTGTCTGGTAATAGCTGGTAGACAGACAGGTGCTAGTTTACTTGGTTTCCATGGCAGGCCTACGTTGGCCCGCAGGCCAGAGGTGTTTTAGTATGGACAGGTCTTTTAGTATGGACAGGTAGGTACGGAGGCAAGGAATCTTTCAGGTTCCCTGGTCCCAAACAAAAAAAGGGCGTGAAGGATTGAAACCAGCAATTTGAATTTAGCCTAGAACCGAACAGGAATAATAATAATAATAATAATAATAATAATAATAATAATAATTTATTTATACCCTGCCCATCTGGCTGGGTTTCCCCAGCCACTCTGGGCGGCTTCCAACAAAACACTAAAATACAATAACCCATTAAACATTAAAAGCTTCCTTAAACAGGGCTGCCTTCAGATGTCTTCTAAAAGTTTGGTAGTTATTTTTCTCTTTGACATCTGGTAGGAGGGCGTTCCACAGGCAGGTGCCACTACCAAGAAGGCCCTCTGCCTGGTTCCCTGTAACCTCACATCTTGCAGGGAGGGAACCGCCAGAAGGCCCTCGACGCTGGACCTCAGTGTCTGGGCAGAACGATGGAGCCAAGTGCATTCATAAAGCAGGTGTGGTACGATCACAGTGTCCAGGCTCAGATCAGAATACAGCTATTACATTTGGTTCTTCTCCCTACTAGGAAGAAACCAAAGAAATGTGGCCCCCTCCCTTGTGGATTTACTCTTCTTCTGTTTTAGTCTCCATCTGCTCTCTGTGGACCCCTTTGAAGGCAATGTCTGCTTTACTCATCTTGTTTGATTATCATTCAGAACACCCACATAATTACCTCTGCTTAACATATCTAAAATCAATACCTTTTGCGTTTTACCCAGTACTAATTGCCTTCATTGTTCGTGCTTCATCACACACCACTTTTGATTTGCCCAGGAGTGGTGTATGCATCCTATTCAATTCCTTCAATAAACTGGAATTAAGGTGGGAAGGTGGAGTGAGGGCCTTGTCTAGTGCACAGGATATGTCAGACCATTAACGTTTTTTCTTTTCCTATTTTTACAACAACAACACCCTCACTCTTAAAATAAAAGCTTGCTGGCTTAATTACCAAACTACATCAGCTTGTAGGCACAAAGGTAAAGGGGAAATTGTAATATCTGATAACAAGTGGGGGGGGGGGGGCAGAAAGAAAATGAGTTTTGGGATGCAGGTGGAAGGGCCGAGTTGGGTAGATGGACAGAGAAAGAGATCCTGCCAATGTTTTTATCTGTTTACAATTTATCTGTAAATATTCAATAAACCATTTTTATTCTTTTATAAAGTTTGTTATCTTGATTTCTTATTCTTCCGGTAAGTTTTTCCATTTCTGCATAGTCCATAAGTTTTTGTATCTATTCTTCTCTCATTGGGCCTACCACTTCTTTCCATTTTTAGGCAAGTAACATTCTTGCAGCTGTAGTTGCATGCATAAGTAAATTTCTATACTGTTAATAAGCATTTTGTATAAGATAAATGTATTTGACTGATCCTAACCTTTCTGAGGCATGAGGAGATTAAGAAGCCAGAGAAGAACAGGAACTTTTCACAAGGCAGTCTCTTCAATAATATGTTTGTTAAACATCCATTGTTTCTTCATGCCTGGAAAATGCATATTTTTATAATATGTGGATGAATAGAATCATAGAGTTGAAAGGGATCCAAGGGTCATCTAGTCCAACCCCCTGCAATGCAGGAATCTCAGCTAAAGCATCCATGACAGATAGCCATGCAGTATTGTTTTACTAAGTTTTGGATACTGAGAAATGTTTTGGGTGCTCCTGCGACTATTCAGATAATTGGATTTTGCTGTTTAACTCATTGTTCCAACGTAGTATTCAACTCTTACCTCACTGACTTAAGCAAGCAATATAAAATATTGCTGAATATCTGTAAAACTTTAGAAACTAATTGGTGCTACAGGACAAAATAGGACAAAATACCAGTTTCTCCAGCCATCATTATTAAAAAGATCTGTTTCTTTCAGCCTATTGCAACAACGCCACCACGTCAAGGTCCGAAAGAAGAGCTGTTAAGCCAAAGCAGCAGTGGGACTCAGGTTTCATATGTCAGTGGTATCTCCTTGGGAGAAGCAATCAGACATAGATCTACTACTAATCAGGTAATTTTGCAATCTTTTCCATATTTTTTTTCATCCAGTTAGAATATTCACACAGTAGTGCATGTTATCACCATATCCCTGTGGAATAAGTTAGGCTGGGTGACAGTGAGTACCCCAAGGTCACTCAGTGTTCTTCATGGCTGAGGGGTGGAGACACTGGCTCTCTAAACTAACCAAAAGGACTGAGGGGGAATACAAAGGTCCTAACAGAACTCCAGATAGAGGCAGAGAACTGGGCCACGTGAAGTAAGGAGTCCTCGAATCTTTTCTTTCATATACAATATTTTGATGCATAAGGGACACAGGTGGCGCTGTGGGTTAAACCACAGAGCCTAGGACTTGCCGATCAGAAGGTCGGCAGTTCGAATCCCTGCGACAGAGTGCGCTCCCATTGCTTGGTTCCTGCTCCTGCCAACCTAGCAGTTCGAAAGCACGTCAAAGTGCAAGTTGATAAATAGGTACCGCTCTGGCGGGAAGGTAAACGGCGTTTCCGTGCGCTGCTCTGGTTCGCCAAAGCAGCTTAGTCATGCTGGCCACATGACCTGGAAGCTGTACGCCGGCTCCCTTGGCCAATAAAGCGAGATGAGCACCGCAACCCCAGAGTCGGCCACGACTGGACCTAATGGTCAGGGGTCCCTTTACCTTTACCTATTTTGATGCATAAGCAATCATATCTTTTACCCGGATCGTTCTACCAGGACATTGAGGTCCAGCTCTGAGGGCCTTCTGGTGGTTCCCTCACTGTGAGAAGCCAAGTTACAGGGAACCAGGCAGAGGGCCTTCTTGGTAGTGGCGCCCGCCCTGTGGAACGCCCTCCCATCAGATGTCAAAGAGAACAACAACTACCAGACTTTTAGAAGACATCTGAAGGCAGCCCTCTTTAGGAAAGCTTTTAATGTTTGATGCATTACTGTATTTTAATATTTTGTTGGAAGCCGCCCAGAGTGGCTGGGGAAGCCCAACCAGATGGGTGGGGTATAAATAGTAAATAATAATAATAATATATTAATGCATATACACTCAAAAAAATGTTGTTGGAGAAAATTATAGGTTCTTTAAAGCTTGCCTTGAAGAATCATTCATTTTTCTATTCTCTCTCTCTCCCCCCCCCATATTTTACTTTCAGGAAATGAAAACATGGTACCAGCCTCATGTAGAAATAGACACAAGCAACCTGCCAGCAGCCTTGGGCAGAAGGCTTAGTCAGAGCAGTGGGACCCGTGACTTGACAGAGTTCCCAAGCATGGAGGAAGGCTCAATTACTGTCACCGAAGACTCCAGAACGCAGCAAGCACCCAATGCGACACACACACGGCTGTTGGGTATGTTCTGTATACAGTACAGTGGTACCTTGGTTTACGAGCTTAATCCATTCCGGAAGTCCGTTCTTAAACCAAAGCGTTTTTAAACCAAGGCGTGCTTTCCCATAGCAGCGGGGGACTCGGTTTACAAATGGAACACACTCAACAGGAAGCGAAACATGTTCTGCTTCCAAGGCAAAGTTCACAAACCAAAACATCTACTTCCGGGTTTGCAGCGTTCTTCGTCCAAGTTGTTCATAAACTAAGCTGTTCGTAAACCAAGGTACCACTGTACTCTTAAATATTTTCTTTTATAATTATTTTCATAAGCAATGACCTTTTTTAAAGTATGTACATATATATTTGTAGCGAAGTCACGATTCAGGGGAATTTCCAGGTGTTGATCCTGGCCATCTCGAGTTCTGTTGTTTTATATTGAGAGTTCACAGTTTGGAGAAGACAACAAGGGACTGAGTGCAGGTGCTTTTTACTGTGGCTTCTCTGCTGAAATTCCAGTCTGCTTAAGTAGCAAGCATTTCTTTTTGCTGGTATAAAATATGGTTGTTGTCGTTTAGTCGTGTCCGACTCTTTGTGTCTCCATGGACCAGAGCACGCCAGGCACTCCTGTCTTCCACTGCCTCCCGCAGTTTGGTCAAACTCATTCTGGTAGCTTCGAGAACACTGTCCAACCATCTCTTCCTCTGTCGTCCCCTTCTCCTTGTGCCCTCCATCTTCCCCAACATCAGGGTCTTTTCACTAGTTACTGCCACAGGTACCCTGCCTTGTGCTCCAGTCACATCTCAAACTTCATTATCATTTTTGTGGATTTGATGGTGCTAACAGGGACAGTACTGATGACAGCAACTCCTAGAAGTTTTGAAAGCCAAGGGAAAAAAGTGGACAGTTAATGTCACCCTTTCCCTCAAAAGTGAGGGAATTGACATATTGGCAATACAGTACTTAATTTCTTATCAGATGTAAGCTTCCTATGCTATGGTAAGAAAATGAAACGTTATATATAATTTAGATAGTAGACTGTACTGTCAGAGATATTTGTGACCTTTAAAAATACAGATCTGTTCATTTATTAAAATGTTGCTTACAGATATACCTATTGTTAAGAGATAGGACAGTTCCCTTGGGTTCTTAAAAAAAAACCCAATAAATGTATCACTCACGTGTAATAAACACCAGCAATATCAGCTAGTTTGTTATTTCTTATAAAAAGGCATAAAGTTCTTAAGGCTACCTTAGTTGGGCAGTTGAAAAAATGGGGGGGGGTTTTTAAACAAAATACAAATCATCATTATAGTATAGTAAGGAAAGTTTTATTATCTGCACTAAGAAATAGCGTGTAGACCTTGGTATTTATCATGTAAAAACAGGATAAATTATTTTATTTAAAGAATTACCCCTGGACAAGAACCAATAATGTCTTTACAAGACCTCAGGTGGCATGACTTTAAGAAGATGATGGTGATGATAAAAAATATTTTTTTTATTTATACCCTGCCCATCTGGCTGGGTTTCCCCAGCCACTCTGGGCGGCTCACAGCATATATCAGAACATACTAAAACATTAAACCTTAAAAACTTCCTGATACAGGGCTGCCTTCTGATGCCTTCTAAAAGTTGTATGGTTGTTTATTTCCTTGACATCTGATAGGAGGACATTCCACAGGGCGGGTGCCACCGCTGAAAAGGCCCTCTGCCTGGTTCCCTGTAACCTCACTTCTCACAGGGAGGGAACCGCCAGAAGGCCTTCGGAGCTGGACCTCAAGTGTCCTGCCTAGACGACGGGGGTGGAGACGCCGCACTGGGAGCCAATGAAGTCCCTTTAGGGCTGGTGTTATATGGTCCTGGCTGTCACTCCCAGTCGCCAGTCTAGCTGCCGCATTCTGGATTCTATCAAGAATGCTCACTTGGTGACAAGATCACACATCTACCTCCAGATCTTTGAGCCAGCTGGGCAAAGCACATAATGCCATTCATTTCAGCTGTCACCACACTTCTTCCTTATTAGCATTTCAGCTGATCATTCCAGAAAAGGAAGGTGAGCAGGCAGGATCCACCCACATGCTCTCTGTGTGCATGACAAACAGGATTCAAATGGAGGAAATTAAATATATAGCATACCCAGTTAGACTGAATTTGCAAGTTCCTAAAATGGACTCTGGGCACTCTTTTTGACACTGGTCCATATTAGTCAGATTGTGTGTTTTTTTTAAATAGTATTTATTAGGGTTTTAAGTTTACAAAAAGGCAAAAGAAAACACACCAAATTAAACAATGACAAAACAACACATCACAATAAAAAAACATAAAGATAGAAACAATTAAAAACAAAAAAAATCAAACCTTCCCATAACTTATCTTTCATTTGCTTGTTTCCCTGACCTCCTTATACCTCCCTTTTTTGTATTCTAAGTCAATTATCCATTTCAGCAAATCCTTTCCCTCTCTTCAAAATTTTTATCCTGAAAATTTATCTTGATCTTAATATAAATTTACTTTCCCTCTTTTCACCAATTAACAGTCTATTTTTCTTAAATCTTTGTTACATTTTTGCTAAAATCACATAGATTCATTCCAACATCATTCTAACATTCATTAATTTTACAGTGTTTCTGTAAATAGTCTTTAAATTTCTTCCAATCTTCCTCCACCGACTCTTCTCCCTGGTCTCGGATTCTGCCAGTCATTTCCGCCAGTTCCATATAGTCCATCACCTTCATCTGCCATTCTTCCAGAGTGGGTAGATCTTGTGTCTTCCAATACTTTGCAGTAAGTATTCTTGCTGCTTATATTAGTCAGATTGTTTACACCCCTATTCCTGTTCTTTTAGATGGCATCTCTTGAAATTTATCAGAATCCTCCCTTGCCAGTAACTGTTTTTCTCTTGTGCTCCTCCATTTTCTACTGTTGAAACATACGGTAAGGCCAAATAATTTCTAGAGATTGTTGTCCTGGCTCCTGTCCCAAGGGCAGCGACAGAGGGGCTTACCTGTGTTTAAGATGGAAGCGTTATTTAAGGCTTACAGCTATTTAGGTCAGACTACAGGTACAGATTGCCAGAGGCACTAATATCAGGGGTCCAAGACTGGACAAAATTTGTGATGTTGTCTCAACAAATAGGCACGCCCCCTCCTGCCTTTTTTTTTATTAACATATAAAACACATGCATATACATTTATACAATACACGTACACAACACACTACCTAATTTTCATAACATAAAACATACCTACATTACTCTATATAGTACCTACCTATACTGTACATCTCAACATACCTACACACCTACGCTTCACGGAAACCCACCAAGTGACTTGACTTCCAGCCGTTCTTGTTACGCTACTTTATTTTTCCAACTAGCTTAAACACATTTCATTATTTCTTTAATCTCTTCTTCTATCTTAACTTTACTCTCCTTTCACTCTAATCTTTTTCTGGATTCACTCAGTATCTGTCAGAAATTCTACTTTCTCCACATAAATTTTGATGTATTCCTTAAAGATAGCCCACTCCTTAGTCACTTTTTGTCCCATATCTCCTCTTATCCTCCCTGTTAGTTCGTCAATATGGAAGTATTCCATCATTTTAGATAACCAGTCTGTTTTAGTTGGGACGCTGCCGCTTTTCCAATTTTTGCCGGTTTTTAAAAGTAAGACATGGTGCACTCACTTGAGAAATTCTCTTGCCACTAGGCTGGTGGGCTTGGTGGTACATGTTTCTCCAGATGGGGGGCACGGTTCTGCTTCCAGCAGCAGAGGTGGTGCCAAGCTCTTGGTGATGGAACGGAGCTCAGCCCCTCATACCCCTTCCTTCAGTTGTTCAACCTCCCCCTTCCCAGCCTCTTTAAGGGAAAAGGAGGTGAGTCCCCTTCCTCTCCTTCGGGCCCCTCCCCACTGACAACATTGTCTGTGCTTTCCCTCCTCTTCTTCTGACAGCAAATTGCACCTTGAACCCATCAGGATTGTGGCGTTCATGACAATTCTTCCTCCCCTGAGGTATCAAGAGGATGAAGTTTGTGTGCCAGTTTGAGCTTGTGCTCTCTCTCTTTTTACCTTTTTAATCAGTATTACTTAGCTAGGTTTTATTGGGCAATGGATGCTGCTCTCGTCTTCAGTGTCACACAGAATTTTTTTTAAAAAAATTGCTAGTGCACTTGCAAAGCTAAGCAGGGTCTGGCATGGTTTCAAATTGGACGGGTGACCATGTATTGAGATTCCTTCCTCTCAGTGGGTTGGACTAGATGATCCTCTGGGTCCCTTCCAACGCTACAATTATTCTATGGTTCTACAAGTGACTTCCAAAGTGTACAAGTGAGAGACAGACTACAAGAACCAGGCAGTAACTGACATCACCCAGTTACCTCTGCCTCTCCATGAGGGGAATGCAAGTGGTCTGAGAAAATTCTGTATTTGTGATTGGATCTAGACATGCCTGTGTTCGCATGTAAAGAGCTTCCAAATGCATTGTGGTGGGGTGGCTGATCTCCCCTCATTTCCAATAGCAGCCCTATATACTTTAGCCCTAAACAACAGAGCCTAGAACTTGCCGATCGGAAGGTCGGCGGTTCGAATCCCCGTGACGGGGTGAGCTCCCGTTGCTCGGTCCCAGCTCCTGCCAACCTAGCAGTTTGAAAGCACCTCAAAGTGCAAGTAGATAAATAGGTACCACTCCAGCGGGAAGGTAAATGGCGTTTCCTTGCGCTGCTCTGGTTTTGCCAGTAGCGGCTTAGTCATGCTGGCCACATGACCCGGAAAGACTGTCTGCGGACAAACGTCAGCTCCCTCGGCCAGTAAAGCGAGATGAGTCTTTCATGACTGGACTTAACTGTCAGGGGTCCTTTACCTTTTTATACATTAGGGGATGCTTGTCTGGAGGGCCCCTCGTCTTCAGGGGGGTTGTGAGTGTGTGGGCTACTACATAACAGAAAGGAGCTACGAAGCCGCTGAGTGTATAGGGAAGATGGCATATACTGCTTTGGATCGGGGCCCTGTTCCTTATGTAACACCATGCCTCAGCTCAGCCAGGGTGGGTACCGGCAGAATTAAAATAGACATAACAGCCCTTTAGAAATGTAAATGCTAAAAATGAACACATATGCAAAATATGATTATAATATGACTAAGGGTGTTATATTTGGATTATATAGTACACGTTCTTTGTAGCAGTCAGACATTTTAGAAATTTTAAAAAGACATTGAGAACGATATGCCACCTACACTCTGATCTCTCCCTGCTGCTTCATATTCTGACTGCTGGTGGCAGCTCCTGCTCCCAGTTTAGCTTCAGCATTTAGTCATTGGCAGGCTTGAATTTCCAATTGTGACTGCTGGATGGTTCGGTGAATATTGCTCACAGAGTCGGAATCTGATAATGGGTAGTTAAGCATTTCAGTTGATTTGAACTGGAACATGGGGCATAATTCTCTTGCTGTGCTTGAAGAACTGTGATTATTTGTTAGTTCTTCCCTGGAGTTTCTACCTGATCTTCCTCTGTCTCCTCTAGCGACTAGCATTGCTGGCATCTAAACATGCGCGTAGCAGAGTGCCTGACTATATGTGCATCAATAGTTTATTTTGTTAATATCCCAAATAGCTCAAGGCAGCATATATGGGCTCGTATTGTTTGAGCTGGCAAGAGAAACTGGTGCGTAGAGAAACTATGCAGTTGGGAATCGCATAAAGATGCTTAGGTTGGAGCGGCTTAAGATGGGCTTTGTCTGTGTTTGCATTATCTAGCACCTTGAGACTTCCCGTGTAAAAGGGATGAGTACTCCTTTCCCCCACCCACTTCACATATATCAAACTGTTTCTCTTATTCAATGCAGCTACCTCAGCCAGGGAACCTATTTGTTGTTGTGTGAGGCATCAGTTTCCACAGCTTTATATAATTCCTCTTAATGACTCCTTTTCTTTAATGCATTTGCAGTTTGATCTCCTGTCAAAACCTGTGAATCTGATCTGCAGTGAAATTGGAGTGGGGTAGATTGGTTGGTAAGGGCGATGCTTTCCTGGGGATTATTCTTTCCCCAGGTTCCTTGATCTCATTGTCCCTGAGCCTTTATGGCTTGCTGGGTGTGAGTCACCGTAAGAATCTTTCTTCTTTTCTTTGCCTTTCCCTTTCCTTTGCTGCACATATATTTTCCCTTCAGTCCCGGCTTTAAAAGGGTCCTGGCCATTTAAAACATTTTGACTAAGAGAGGGGGAAATTGGATGCACAGCTCTAAAGGTTGCACCCTGAGGGTAGCGGCTGCCGTAATGGAAGTGGCAGGATTGAGAGTGGGGTGCGGAGAGCATAGAGAGGCCCATGGTGTAAGTGGAAGTGGAAAAACTAGTGGTGTAGTCTATGAGCAGTGTTACTCACTCAAGAGGAGTAGGCAAATGCCAAATCAGATGACTGGAGTGATGGTGATTCTGCATATTTAGCAAACTAGGTAGCAGGCAACTACTGATGAGTGAAAGGGACGCTTTTGCTCTGAAAACCTCTCCACCCACCCACCCAAAAAAGATTCAGTTCATTTCCAGCTCATTTCCTCACTCCCAAGAGAATGATATCCACTATCCATTCATTGGACTATACTTGTAGTAGTGAGTGTGTACACTAAATAAAACGGTTGAATCACGTGTCAAAAGGTTGGAGGGGAGTGCCTTGCTGTATTGCATATGGAAATACTGGAATGTTTTTTTCCCCTTCGCTTTTTCCTAAAAGTATTCATTATGACATCATAATTGAGGCATCATTTACAGTCTTTTTGAAAAAGTATTTTCTAATGGCAATGCATTAATTAATATAGCAAATTGAAAACAAAGAAGGGCTCTGCTCAGGTTTTGCCTCCATCTCTAAATGCTCAGCAAACAGCATTCTGATTTCTGACTTTCACATTTGTCAGCATCAGGATGTAAGATGATGCAGGATCAGGTTTGCTTGCTGGGGAAATTTAGCTATGAATGAGGGAGGCGACCTTCAGAATTGACAGTGGGAAGAAGAATTGCTCTTCTTTTGCACCAGACACCCAAAGATGGTGTGGCTGGTATCATTTGCTGCTCTGGGACCTAACAGGTCTCCCCACAGAACACTACTGTTAACGTTTCCCCAAAACCATCACAAGCAGCAAGAGTTGAGATGATGATTTTGCAGTTCCCCAGAGAAAAGCAAAGCTCCATTAATTTTTCCAGCCAACATAAAATTTAATAGGTTTTCAGTGTAACTTGTGAATAACCTGATTTAGATTGTGTAATGGAATAGCTGATGGATTTTGTTTCTGAGATGACTAATATTGCTAGGTATTGTACATGGATTAGAAAGGCTTGTATCTGATTTGGGGTGGCAGAAAAGGCAATGATTATGTGTTCCTCTTCCCATCCTTCACCCTGCTCCAAAGAAAGGGCTCTTTGGAGCCATCCTGCCGAAATCCTTGGTAACTTTTAAACCAGGCAGGCATAACAATGAATAATGGTGTACAAAAACCTTGGACCTCACTTCAGGATAGGTTGGAATAATAATAATAATAATAATAATAATAATAGTAGTAGTAGTAGTAGTAGTAGTAGTAGTTTATTTATACCCTGCCCATCTGGCTGGGCTTCCCCAGCCACTCTGGGTGGCTTCCAACAAAACAGTAAAATACAGTAATGCATCAAACATTAAAAGCTTCCCTAAACAGGACTGCCTTCAGATGTCTTCTAAAAGTCTGGTAGTTGTTGTTCTCTTTGACATCTGGTGGGAGGGCGTTCCACAGGGCAGGTGCCACCACCGAGAAGGCCCTCTGCCTGGTTCCCTGTAACTTGGCTTCTTGCAGTGATGGAACCACCAGAAAGCCCTCTGCGCTGGACCTCAGTGTCTGGGTAGAATGATGGGGGTGGAGACGCTCCTTCAGATATACTGGACCGAGGCCATTTAGGGCTTTAAAGGTCAGCACCAACACTTTGAATTGTGCTCGGAAACGTACCGGGAGCCAAGTGTTGGGCAAGTAACACAGTTTGAGGCCCACTATCTTCAAGACTTACAGAGAAGAGAATGCATTAAAAAGCATGTGTTCAAACTCTGTGACATCTGAAAGGTTGAATTTGCAATTTTGAGGTATTGGGTCTCGTAACATCCGCTACTGGTTGTCTACCCCTGTGTTAAGGGAGGAAATACACAGTGCCTTCCAGCTACAACTGGCAGCCAGCCATCTTTGCATGAGCTTTATGCAAAAAGCAGCCTAATGTGAAATCAGCTGCCGTATTCCAGCTCATGAGATTTCCAGTGCTGTCTGAGATGCTGAAGAAGTTGCCCATCTCTGGTTTGATTCACTGACCTTCTTTTGAAATGTGAGGTAGTGAAACATGGCTGTGTTTCAAGCATCCTTTACTTGGGAGTTTGATATTTGGGGGAAGGAGGAATTTCTTTGCTGGACATATGTGTGACTCTGCTAGGTTGTCCTCTTGAGTGGGTCTTCCAAGCCCCCTCACGCTTTGTGTTTGGCATCAGTTAACTCATTTGAAAATATGGAAGTGTATTTTGGCCTAAGAAATGAGGCGGTCTGTGATAAGATTTGTAACATTCAGCGATGAAGCATATCCTTTTAGTTATTGCTGCAAGTTTTGCTTGTCCTCCCTTAGCTGCCATTTTCCTAAAACTAAAAAGCCTTGAATGTTACAGTCTTTCCTCGCAGGGAAAGGTGCTTAAGCGTTATGATCATTTTGGTTGACATTTTCTGCATCTTTTCTACCTCTGTATAAATACCCTTTTTGAGGTATTGTGACCTGAATTGTACACAGACCATGTCATAGATATTTGCATAAGGGCATTATGATACTATACTGGGGTTTTTATTTTTATTCCCTTTTCTGATAACCTGTGGTGCAGAATTTGCCCTTTTCATAGCTCCGTGAGAATGTGCTCTGCTTAGTCAGGGCCTGAAAAACTTCTTCCACATTAAGTGCATTAAGCTTTAAGACTTCTCAAGATTCTCTGTTGTGTTTTCTGTAGCATTTAAACAGGAAAGTTGTAAAGCACCTGCAACATTGAACAACTGTGTGAAACTTTATATTCAACAATAACCTTTGTCCCTTATTTTTAATGACTCATTTTGTATAAAATGCATTGAGGGTATTAATATTTTGCTGGATGAATAGAGAATACTGAGTTGTATAAGGCACATTTTGTTCCTTTTAACAGTATAGTACAGAAGGGGAAAGAGAAGGATGGAGAGGCAGAAAATGGACCTTTTGTTTTTGATGCTTTTTCTTACTTGCAACCTGGTTGCTGGGAAACTCACAACACAATACAAGGTTATATTAGCTTGTTGCAAGCTCTTGGAAACAGTGGCATATTCAAGGCATTGCTATTTCTGGCATTTTGGTTATAGCCTATCTACCTTGGGTTGAATATTCAAATTCTGTATCAGGCCAAGAAATCCTCCATTTTGTAACAGGATGCATCCTGAAAATGAAAGAAACCCGCACAAACCTGCTTCTGTGCGATACGTTTTCAAAGCTCTTTTAAATATTTTGGCAGGCTTGACCGGCGGTCAGGAAGAGGTGGTGCAAGCAGGGAGACTGAAATGGGCATAAGTTGCAGGAACTATTCCCCAAGGGTGAGGGACTATACCTTCCCAAAGCGTTGGAGCCCCGTCACCAACACTGCCTCTCATCTCCCATTCTCACCCCAGTCGTGGCTTCTGAGGTTCCCAGGCACTTCCATGTGGCTTGGTTTCGTTAGCCTTTCTTGATACATAAACATTTCTTTTATAAACATGAAAACAGAAGAGCTTAAGTTGGTGAATTCTGTGTTTGAAAGGTAAATAGCAGATCTAGCCTCCAAAGCATTTTTTTTTCTGGCCCTGGATAGATCTATGAGATTTGGATCAAGGTGTAGGTCATGGGTAGGCAACCTAAGGCCCAGGGATGCATCTCTGGGTTATTTGTGGGGCCTGCCTGGTGTTTTTACATGAGTAAAATGTGTGCTTTTATTTAAAATGCATCTCTGGGTAATTTGTGGGGCATAGGAATTTGTTGATTCCCCCCCCCATATAGTCTGCCCCCCCAACGTCTGAGGGACAGTGGACCAGCCCCCTGCTGAAAACGTTTGCTGACCCCTGGTGTAGGTTGTTAAAACAGACAGACAGACAAAACAAAACAAAACAAAACCTTTTTCCAAAAGCTGGAAGGTGAGACACTGCACTTGTGGTGTATCTTTTTTGCTTCTTACGAAGTGCCCCAGCTTTGCCGTAGGCCAGGGGTCGATAACCTAAGGCCCATGGGCCACAAGCAGCCCATGGGGGTCATTTTACTGGCCCCTGCGCTGAAAATTGCATCTGTGCAGACGCTGGAAATCACAGGTGCACGCGTGATCTGGCCCACAGAGGGGCAGTGAACTGGCCCAGGCAAGGTAAGCCTTGCTGACCACTGCCGTAGGCTTTGTGTTCTCCAAAATCAAACATATTCTATGATCCCCAAGGACATGCTCTATGGAGATCTGGCTTCAGGCACCGGGCCCATTGGCAGACCATCTCTGTGTCACAAAGATTTCTTCAAACGCAACACGAAGTCTGCCTTCATGTGCTCCAGCTGCAACAAAACATGTCTCTCCCGTATCGTTCTCTACAGGCATAGCAGGCAATGCAACCTTCCAACAGTTTGACTTCACCCCCAAAAGCACACTTCCATTGTCTCTCGAGACAGATGGATGCCAAGCAACTCTATGATCAAATTATTCTACAGACTGTGGATAGATTGGCGGGGGGCTTCTACATCAACATTTTTATGATTATTGAAGCGTTTTCTTGCTTACTTAAAAGTAACAGATAAGAAAACCATGTATTAAGACCTTATATGACAGAAAAAAGTCATTGATTTCTAATTTGCATTTCATTTGACCCATTATGCATTAGATCATCCTACTTGGTGAAGCTTGGGGGTTTTTTTCCATTAAAAGATTTAAAACTCTTTTTGTACTGTTTAAAATAATCCTTCTTGCTGAGTTAATGGCAAAAATGAATTTCTTTAAGTAAGCTTGCTGCCTTCCTCCGAAGAGCAGAACAGCTATTAGGAACCACCAAAATTAGATTGGGCATATGTGCATGAGCTTCATTGAAATATGGGCAGGATTTCAGGTTATAGATGTTAACGTTGATTATCAGGTCTCCAATTGGTGTATGCTCAAAAGGGGATGCAAAGTTCATTGAGTTACATACACGTAAATGTTTCTCTCAGACATTTGAGGCTTTTTTCTGAGAGGAGGCATGTCACACATTCCCCTAAAGCTGTACCATAAAATTTATTTTAAAGTTTTTTTTATGTTAGAAACGACTATACCATATGTGAAATCTGTGTTTTTCAGTCTGATTCATCTTTAGCCATTTAAAGTTGCTGTATTACACATTTTCAACCATATTTGGTTTTTTAAGCTCTTGCCAGTTGGCAGGGCACTTGCATTAGTAAGGCTTTGATTAGCAAGCCATGACTTTTCAGTCTTGCCACATAACCATTGTGTTTGTAATGTTGACAGAAGCTGAGGACAGTCGCCTCTCTCCCAACCTCCCACTGATGACAACATACTCAACGCAAGGCCGAACATTCTTCAACGAGACCCTCTTTCAGCAAACCGGAACAGATTTTGCTCCTTTGAGGTGGGGTAAACCTATTGTACTCTGTTAGCTGTGTTGTTTAATGCACTGAGCACAAGATGGAGTGCATTCTTCTCCCCATTTTATCCTCCCAACAACCCGATGAAGTAGATTAGGCAGAGAGGCTGTCTGGCCTAAGGTCAACCCAGTGAGCTTCATGGCTGAGTGGGGATTTGAACCCGGCTCTCCCAGTTCCTAGTCCAGTGCTTTAACCGCTGCAGCACCACTGGATTTTTCATTCTAGTACTGCTTCAGCCAAAGGGGTCCACCTTCACCCCCCAAAAACCATTAGAAGGCCAGAAGCTCATCCTAACAAAATCATGCCTGTATGTTGTCAGAGGGGTGGTGCTGTGGTCTAAACCACTGAGCCTCTTGGGCTTGCCGATCAGAAGTTCGGCAGTTTGAATCCCCGCGACGGGGTGAGCTCCCGTTGCTCTGTCCCAGCTCCTGCCAACCTAGCAGTTCGAAAGCACATCAAAGTGCAAGTAGATCAATAGGTACCGCTCCGGCGGGAAGGTACCGTATTTTTCACTCTATAAGACGCAGCAGACCATAAGACGCACCTAGTTTTTGGAGGAAAACAAGAAAAAAAATATTCTGAATCTCAGAAGCCAGAACAGCAAGAGGGATTGCTGCGCAGTGAAAGCAGCAATCCCTCTTGCTTCTCTGGCTTCTGGGATAGTTGCGCAGCCTGCATTCGCTCCATAAGACGCACACACATTTCCCCTTACTTTTTAGGAGGGAAAAAGTGAGTCTTATAGAGCAAAAAATACGGTAAATGGCGTTTCCGTGCGCTGCTCTGCTCTGCCAGAAGCGGCTTAGTCATGCTGGCCACATGACCCGGAAGCTGTACGCCGGCTCCCTCGGCCAATAAAGCGAGATGAGCGCCGCAACCCCAGAGTCGTCCGTGACTGGACCTAACGGTCAGGGGTCCCTTTTATGTTGTCAGAGACAGTGACTTATTAAAGTCCCTTTTTGAAGGGGAATATTGAGCTGCGTTGGACCTGGAAATCTTTTCTCTCTGGGTTCTGCTAGACCGCAATGCAGGATTGTAATTCTGGCCCCCCACCCCCAATTCTCTTTCAGAGGGACTCCAGATGCTTCTAATGTTGCTTCCGAAGAGTCTTCAAGCCATTTGCGGATGAGTGAAGCTGTGCGGCTGGCAGCCACAGATGTCAGCTCAGACTCTTCTCTTCTCTCCGATTACTTTAAACTGTCTCAGCATCCCTTGGCTTTCAGCAGCATGGCACCTAGCAATACCAGCCTTGGCAGTTGTCTATCCCAGCATCCCCTTTCATTTTCTGGGCCCTCTCCCAGGGAACAGGCTCCTCATAGTGAGCAGCATACACAACACCTTGATGCAAGGACTGAAACCTTGGGCTCCAGCAATGAGAATTTGGGAATCCCAGGTTCACAGAAGCAGCTAAATCTGCAGTCGGCAACGTCTCTTCCTCCGAATGAGTCTTGGGGACAGGATCTGTTCCTTTTGGACAGCCGTGTGCCAGCACCTGTCCTCCTTGAAATTCTGGAGAAAGAGGTGGGGCTATCCAAGCATTCTGGCTTCTTATCTTCCGAGAGTTCGTCTGGCAAAAGTGTTTTGGGAAAGGATCCAGTTGAAAACGAAATGAGCCCCCTAATGGAAAATGTAGTTCTTGGGGAAAGGGAGTTGGAAACCTTTGCAGAACCACCTGGGCAAGAAAGAAGAACTGTTCCTGAGTGTGATTCGTTGAACGCACTCTCTTATTCGGAGGGAAAGCCCTTTAGAAATACCGGTAATTCAGAACAATTATCTTCAGACATTTCAAATGTGTCCTTCAGGGGGCAAAGGATGGGTTTGGGTGATTCTTGCATCATCCCTGGGTTATCTTCAAACCCTCTTCTGAGCAAGCAGGAGTTGCAGCATGTTTCTGAAGCTGCATTTGAGGAGCAAAAGAAGCTTGTTCCGGCTTTTGCTAACGCTAAACTTCATGTCCCTGCACCCCACCAGCCAGTCTTTGTAGCTGCAGAGCATGGCAATATCCGTAACATGGTAGAAATCCAGATGGGAGACAAAAGTGAATTAATGCATTCAGACTTCAGTATAGAGAGGGAACATAAAGATGTCGGAATTTCACCTTCCTTCAACGAGGGATCATTCATTTTACATCTGGCACATCCCGTTCATCATTCTACTCCAGGAATTTTTACAACTAGAAGTTTGACTCGGGAAGTTCCTGCTATGACATACCCGGTCAAAGCTGTTCTTCAGTCCTCTCTCCCTTGCTTACACGAGGAGTTCTCAAATAACTCTTGTTCCAATACATTCCTTCCTTCCGTGGAAGAGCCTCGCGTACCTTCTCTGGATGATACTTGCATACCCTCTGCGGGAGAGCCGCTTGCCCTGCAAAGCGGCCAAGCATCAAAAGATGAAAACAGTGGTGGTCTCCAGGTTCTATATCCTCTTAAAGGCAGGATTCAGTCTCTACCTTCTCTCAACTTTATGGAGAAGGTTGGGGCATGGAACATGAGTCATTCAGCTGAGAGGATGTCTGATGCCTTGGCTTTACATGGCTCAAGTGGCGTTTCTCCTAGGCAGAAGGCCTACAGTGCAATAGCAGATTCCTTGAACCACATTTTGTTAAAGCAGCAGAGCCAGGCTGATCTTAAGGCAGGGCTGGCAGCATCCTTTTATGGGCCAAACTCCATGACCAACCTGCATGTTTATGATAAAAACCCACCACAGGTGCTGCCACTTACCAGGTCTCAGTCTGAAAACTCTGTGGTCGCAATCAGCAGAGAGATGCCAAGGGCTGAAGTGGGTCATGAAACGTCCCACAGTGAAGATCTTCATCCAGTAGAAGATCAGGGAAGAGTTTCAGGAGCGTCTGGAGTCAAGCAGAGTGATGCTAACATTGAGGATGCACATTCCCAACATTATACAGCTGTTCTAGTCTCCACTGTCTCCAGTGATGAAGAAATCGGTGAAAGTGCCACTGGAGGAAATCCAGATAATTTTATTTCCAGTGAAAGAGTTGCTGAACTCCTCAGAGAAGACGCCAGCTTTCTTAGTGGTAGTCAAGAAAAGACAGATGGCTGTCAAGATAATACCAGAGAATTGACAGGTTTTCTTCCTTGTACCAACCAGATCAGTTTGGGCCATTTTAGTGATGTTTCACCAGATAGCTTGAATCAAAGAACTAGTCCTGGGACAGGCAGCTGTGGTGACTTGCGACTTTCTTCAAGACAGTCTTCAAGACGCTCTTCAGTGCGATCTTCAGTTGTTTCTGGAAAGTTGCATAGCAGTTTGGAAGAAGTATTCAAAACTCCATATGACAGGGAGATAAACATCGAAGAAAGAATACCTGTAAGTTAATTTTGCCACAATATTTTAAAACATCCTTGTTTGCAGTTACAGTTGGTACACTTGCTCCACAGCCATCTTATCTTATGGTATACCTATAGTGCATACGCATGAATTCCTTGGGGGTCTTTCTACTCTGTTAACCGTTGGAGACAGGCATGCATGGTACTTTTTGCCAAATACTTCTCCTTCCATCGAAATAGATGTCCTTATCTCCACATGTACGGAAGGGACAGGAGTCTTGAACCAAGGAGGGGGTGGGTAATTGGATCTTTCTAGTATTGGCATTAGCACTGAAACCAAGGAGCCAGTGTCAACAGTAATGGAACATACAAACATAGAAAGGTCAATTACATAGGTAGCATTTATACCAGAATAGCAACTACAGTACAGTGGTACCTTGGGTTAAGTATTTAATTCATTCTGGAGGTCTGTTCTTAACCTGAAACTGTTCTTAACCTGAAGCAATACATTAGCTAATGGGGCCTCCCGCTGCCGCCGCGCCGCTGGAGCATGATTTCTGTTCTCATCCTGAAGCAAAGTTCTTAACCCGAGGTAATATTTCTGGGTTAGCGGAGTCTGTAATCTGAAGCGTATGTAACCTGAAGCGTATGTAACCCGAGGTACCACTGTACTTAGTTAAATCTGTAGAAGGGACTGAAACTGGACTCTACCGTGGCAGATAGGAGCTTCAGAGTGGAAATATCCTTCAAATAGGAATCATCCTGCATGTACAAAATTGAGCATGTCAGAGAGAATCTTCTATCCCAGACATTTTTGGATGTGCCCAGTGCCTTATGGTGCCTAAGGATATATATTTTATATATTTTGTCACTTTGAAAATAGGAAAAATAAAACTGTAAATTAGAAACCACCATTGTGGTGAAAGAAAAGGACAAAAAAGTAAAATATATATATATAGACCTCAGCATTGTCATGGGAAACAGAGAAAATATGCTTTGGAGTGGTAAAAAATTAAGTAATTAGTTCCTTTTTCAAAGAAAATAACTTCATTAGCTGTTTCCTGAGTTCCCCCCATATCTGCCTACTAGTAAGATCTGCTAATCCTTCCCCCTGCCCTTGTTCTTCTCAATGTGTCACATTTTGAAGCATTCCAAACAAAATGTCTGAAAAATGGTCTTCCTTTGTGGCATAGTAAATTGCCCAATTTTTATCAAGGGTGGATGGGAGGAAGGCAGCTTTGGACAAATTATCACGTACATAAAACTGAGGCCTTACGGTCTTTCGGTGAGGACTGTTGTGTAACAAGAATGCACAAGCCATTCCTTGTAAGATGGATTGTATAGGGCATATGCTGAGGTTGTTGGCCTGACAGAAGAAGTGAATCAGTGTCTTTGCAATTGGAAGAACAAGACAGGATGGCTAAGTGGTGAGGAGCTTAATGTTTTCTGACTATTGCATTGAAGAGCTGTCTGTGACCTTCCAGTCTCTTCCTTCTGGGCAGACATACTGAGATACTCCTTGCCAGAAATCTACTCTGTGACACAAGCCCAGCTTTTAGTGGAGTCTAAGGGAGAAAATTATTCACACCCACATGTCTCTAACAACAGAAGAAGCTGGTACAACAAACTCCTGGCAAAGCACATTTCAGACCCTATAAATATTCTATTCTTTTCAAGTTATCTCTAGCACGAAAGCATGCAAACTGCTGACATGGAATGAATGCCCACCTGCCTTTTTAACAGCAGCGCCTGAAAATTGGTCTTTGGTAATAAAAGAATTACTTTGATGGTGGCTGCCTGTTAATATTTGCCCTTGTGGGTTCCTGGAATAAATACATGCTCATTTATGAATTTGTGAGACTTTTGGAATAAGCAGTTTTCTATCCCTGTTACCTTTTTTTTTTTTTTGTGCCAGATTTTCCTGCTGTACCAGTTTGGTCTTTCAAGAAATGTAGACCCCCCACCCACCCCAAATGGCGCAAGAGGGGCAGGACAAAGATGAGGAAAGGTTTCCTCTTTTTATATTCCCTCCCCACCAATCTTCTTGCCAGGTCTAACTAGGGGAATCCGAGTGAGAAAGCAGTTTTCCATGTTCTTATCACTTGCTGGAGCAGGACCCACAGACATGAGCGTGCACCTGCCTGTTTGTGGAAATGTGATCTGTTTACACTGCGCTGCTTGCAGTAGAAAGCACACTTAGGATGGGGATACCTATAGCTCCTTCACTTGATCCAAAACCTGGTGTATTAGAGCAGATGGGCTGCATCAACTCTCAGATGTCAGATGTCAAATATTTCAGATGTCAAACAGCTACCTGACATTTAGAAGACATCTGAAGGCAGCCCTGTTCAGGGAAGTTTTTAATGTGTGACATTTTAATGTATTTTTAATCTTTGTTGGAAGCCACCCAGAGTGGCTGGGGAAACCCAGCCAGATGGGTGGGGTACAAATAATAAATTAATATTATTATTATTATCCTCTGGCTTAGAAAGGGGCAACCCTGCTCCCATTACAGTTCAAAGGCCCCAGGGTGAGTAGAGTTAGTCTCAGAGAAAGCAAGGCTATTCCCTCCTTCCCTTTCAGACCCATGCAGAAAGGAAACAAGTGGCTTGCTTCTTTTCAGCCTGACTCCCAGAACTCATGCCTGCATACCACCCTGTCCTGTCAGTGTTTGCAAATATAGTGCAACAACATACACATTGGCCTTACCAGCTCAGAAATAATTCCACACCTCTAAACGTGGCAATTGGCATATGCAGACCCTTTCTAAGGGGAAATGTAATTTTGTGCATCTATGCCCTGGCCTGCTTTGGGGGGGGGGGACTGGAAGAATACATGTTCATAACTCCCCCTAACCCCCTAGTTTTGCACATTTTGTGGCTGTTGTTTCCCCCAGCCTGTTGCTACTTCAGGGCAGGGAAGAGCAGATGAGTCCCTGTTGCTGATGAAACTGAGCTAAGGCTCCCTTCAAATGTAATGCCCATTTCGCTGGAAGTCGTGCTGTGCAAAAGAGTAATAATCCCTGCATACCAGTGCCTAGACAAGGAAGTCTCTTCCCTTTTTGACACCTATTGGCCTGGAAAAGGTGGCCTGGCACCTTTTCATTAAGAGGTGTGAGAAATACCTAAAGGTTGAGGGTTTATTTACAAAAATGTTCGTTGGATCCCTGTGGTTGGCATCTGAGATTCAGCCACCTTGCCTGCAGTCTTTGAGGGAATTTGTCTTGTAAATCAGTGCCAGGACCGATTTATCAGAATAAATCATGCATTTAATATACACAGATGTGACAGATTTTCCTTTCCGTGATTTCGCCTTCATTTCCAAATATAGTTTAGGTATCAGGTAATTAATGTCTTTCTGGCAAGGAAGAAACATGGTGTGCCTGCTGTGGAAGGGCTTTTAATTTTGCTGGAAAAAAAGGGCTGTGAGTGGTTGCTTATTTGGGCTTTTAAAGGAATGTGGAGGGGTGTGTGTGTGTGTGTGTGTGTGTGTGCATGTGTGCTTGCACCATAACCGAATCCGGTTAAATACAGTTGTGAGCATGAAAGTAGGTTTCTCAGAGTTTTATAGTACCTTCCTCTCCAATGAAGGTACAGGTGTGGCCAAACTCTGGGAAACTAGATCCTACTGAGCTGCCCAGAGTGGTTGGAGAAACCCAGTCAGATGGGTGGGGTATAAATAATAAAATTACTACTACTGGACTACAGTTCCCATCACCCCTTGCCATTTACCATGCTGGCTGGGGCTGATGCGAGCTGAAATCCAACTGTGTCTGTAGGGTCACCAGTTCCCCACCCTGAAACAGAAGTTTTGTAGTGTTGGTGATTGAATGAACAGAATCCGAATGAACAGATTCCCACGCTGTGTGTTGTCGAGAGTTGCATGTGGAATTATTTCTGCCTTTCAGGTTTTGTGCTGTTTATGTGGGATGGTGGTGGTTGGCAAAATTTTTATTTGTACATGGCAGTCCTTCCTTGACTGCTGCCCTAGATTAACCGTGTTCACTTCTTGCATCAGGTCTACCTCCATAACCTGGGCATTGATCAGTCACCTTCGTCCATTCTGACTCCATTTATGCCCCGAGGACCAGTCAGAGAAATAGAATTCTCTCCCACTGAGCTGAGAACACTGAAGACGTCCAATGATTTGTTAGCGCGACGCCTGCAGTTATCGGAAGGTAAGGGCGGGAAATGAATCGGCTTCATTTGTGGAAGATAGGTGGGTCTGTCAGCAGCTAATAGCCATCATCACTAACGGTAGTTGTTGGGGAAGGCAGTTACCCTCATGCCGTGTTTGTGGACTTCCCAGCAGCTCCTGACTGGCCACTGGAAATCTCAGCTAGATGGAGCCACCTCCTAAACCCCCCTCTCAAGGCAGCTTGAAAGCACAAAAACAACCTAAACATTTGAAGTGAACACCCTAACAAATAAACACTGGTGGCAAAGATCCGCTTGCCCAACTGGGAAAGTCCGTCAGAATGGACTCTCAGTTTCTGGAAACTGCAGACAGTGGGTGCCTGTCCTATCTTGGCAGGAATGCTGCTCCATAGAACAGGGTCAACCACACTAAAAGCCCTGTCCGTGTTACTCTGTGGGTCATATGGGTTTCTCCTGCTGCTCATGACACTGGTAAAGACTTTGATGTGAATCTTCTTTCCAGGTGTTCACACTTTATTTGCAGTGAAGCTACCTTTTTGACTTCCTATTTCTGAAAGGTGATCTGACAAGAGTCCCTTGTTCATTAGGGTTTCCCGAATTTGGCAGCAATCTTCCAGTTTTCTTACATAAAATTTCGAGCAGCTCTTTACCTGTCTTTGAGAAAAACACTGATAAACACTGCCTGTACTTTCAGTTATCTTTTAACCCTGGGTCATCAGACGGTCATTTTTTAGCACTATCTTCCTTCCCATGCCATATGGAAACAGACCAATAAGCAACTGGGAAGCTTTTAAATGGGGTATGTTGGTGAACCTGACTCTGGTGGTAAAAGGTAAAGGTAAAGGGACCCCTGACCGTTAGTTCCAGTCGCGGATGACTCTGGGGTTGCGGCGCTCATCTCGCTTTATTGGCCGAGGGAGCCGGCGTACAGCTTCCGGATCATGTGGCCAGCATGACTAAGCCGCCTCTGGCGAACTAGAGCAGCACACAGAAATGCCGTTTCCCTTCCCGCTGGAGCGATACCTATTTATCTACTTGCACTTTGACATGCTTTTGAACTGCTGGGTTGGCAGGAGCAGGGACCGAGCAACGGGAGCTCACCCCATTGTGGGGATTTGAACCGCCGACCTTCTGATCGGCAAGCCCAAGAGGCTCAGTGGTTTAACCCACAGTGCCACCCACGTCCCTCGACTCTGGTGATTATTATGCTCCAAATAATTTACTTTTCCGGTATAATTACCTACACCATGTTATTTCAGTTCGTGACAAGGACTTATGATTATTGAACATTGGCAAGGGATACTTGGAGTTCTGACCATTCTTCTTTTCCTTCTAGGAGACTCGGCCTCTGTGATAGATGCTATACAGTCAAGCTTTGACTCTTCCATTCATAGTGTGCATGCCCCAGCTGGGTCAGATCCTGGTACTGATCATCCACTGCCTACAGAGTTCTCCCATCAGCCTTCCAGAGACTGCTTCAATCAGGGCAGCATGGTCTGCCCTCAGTTGGAACTACGTACTCCAACTCCAGAGCCAAGAGAAGGCACTTTTGAGTCTTCCGCTCCTCCTAAGACAGCAGAGCAGAGTCACGTAACCCCAGAATGGCCATCCAACATCCATTCTGGTGAGGGGAGATCTCCAAAATGTGTACAGACACTGATGGAAAGATTTGATTCAAAGGAACTTGGTGTAAGTCAAGACCAACTCTCGCCTAGCTCTTTGGCTCATGGAAAAGATGAAGAAAGCATAAGTCAAAAAATCAGTTCTTCAGCTGTCCTTCTTGGAGGAGAAAAAGATTGTTTCTTTATAGGATCTGAAACATTAAAAGAGATCCAGAAAATTCTGGCAGAGGCAGAAACTAGGAGCCCAAGCCGAAACTTTAAATCCGCCTCATCCATCTCCTCCACAGACCTGGACAGTTCATTAAAGCAAATGAAAAAGATGGATGGCTCCGGAGATTCTGGATTGTTCAAGGGGAGCAGCCCAGGAATTCAGAGAATGTGGTCGTGGGATGAGACGCTGGCTAGGCAAAGTGTTCACAGTTACAATGTGCTCCCCAAAACAGCTAGCTTCACTGGTAGCTTAAAATGTGATGGTCAGCCAGCTGCTGATGTCCTCAGCAATGATCAGATTCTGCCAGAAGAGTCTATGCCACCCTCCCAAGTAACGGTTGAAGAACATAGGACCGTGAAGCCTGTTAGGCGATCAGAGCCTGAAGGCTGCAATAGTGCCACAGTAAATAAAAGCTTGCCCATCTTTGTAGACAGTGCTGCAGACAGCAAGTTATTTACTCCCAAAGATCTCAAAGAATTAGCAGCTGCGTCTAGCGCAGGGTCCTTAGACAGCGCCTCTAATATTTGGGAGGAAGGTCAGCAAGTCTTGCAGAAAACCAGGAAAGAAATGGGTGGCAGTCATGGAAGTGGAAACAGCAGCAGTGTGGACTCGCTGGGTATCAAAGTGAAGAATCTTCTGCGGTGTGAACGTCCCGTTTTACACACAACACAGTGGGGGGAGGGGGAGAAGCACAATGAACATAGTCAGAAACAAGTCTCAGCTGGAGCCCGTGTAGCCTGTAGCAAAGGGGATCTTGCATCCCAAGAGAGTGAGAACAGCAGTAGCTTGGACTCGCTGGCTGCTCGTGTCAAAACGCTTCTGGAAGACGAACGCCCTGTAATGCATGCAGCCCAGATACTTCAGAGTGCTGAGGAGGAAGAAGAAAAAGCACATGGTAAGTAATTGAACCGCAGGAGTTCCATGAAGCACAATTGCTATTGTTTAAATGTAAAAGAAGTCGAAGTATTTCCCCAGGAATCAGTGAAAATATCAGTCTAATCAGAAATCAATCCTGCAAAATTTTAGCAGAACATAAGTTAATATTGCTGTCTTTCAAACTCCCTGTTTAATAACCGTTCTTGGTTTGTGTGTCCATAGCAGTTACCTTAATAGAACGTGGACCACCTGCCAACACATTAGCAACTTCTACTCTCATTTTCTGTGATCTCTCTGGCAGCCTGGGTGAAACTGAAGCTGACTCTTCAACCTGCAGACGCCGAGGCTGATCTAAACGAGGAAGACCGGCGGATGATAGAAGAGATCAAGAGAATGCAGCTTTTGAGTGCCAGGAAAGCTGGAAATGTTAAGGTAAGAAGGAACCAGGGGAAACCAGGAGGCAGATTTAGGTAGCATTGTAGGGTTAGGACAGAATTACAAGCTTTGGCTTGTGGACAAGCATCTTACAACTGCTGAATAAAAAAAAAAAAAGTGTTGCACTAATTGGAACAATAATGTGGAAGCAATAATTTCTTCCCAGTGGTGTGGTTTTACCATGTGCACAGTCCTGGTGACCTTTTAATAGCATCTCCACATAGCTTGGGATTTTTGGAAACTGGATGACTGGTTAAAACATTTATAATATGCATATTATGGAGGTCACCTTTTCCAGTATGTGCCCCGCATTTGGAAGGCTAGCTCTTCTTGACTGCCGTGCAAGTCAGAATGTCTGTTTTGAGAAGTCTGGTCTTTTCTGGATGTTACGGGGACTGAAGCAGAGACTTTGCATGCAAAACATGCACTCTGCCACCCAACTATAGCCCTTCTGGTGTGAGCTGAATATGCAGCTTGGTTGTACCATAGCTAGCACAGCTTCAGCTGTTAGTGTTATGGGCAGTGTGCACGCATACATTCTGAACCATGGTTTAGTGTTGTGAGGATGAGACATGGAAGAGTATGGCCAGGAGGAAGACTTGGGTAGAGTTTAGTCTCACTTTTACAGACTCCCAGCTTAGCATTATGTTTGAAGCAAGGAACCTAGTTTAAGCTAATAAGATTCATAACAAGGATGGTTACTCTGTTCTGTCGCTGACTGTGCTATTTTAATGATGGAATTCTTCTAATGTATTCGTGGGTTTTTAAAAAAAATCTATATCTGCAGTATTTTATTGCCTTTAATTTGTTTCTGTTTTGCTTGAAATATTTGTGAACCGCTTAGAGGTTTTTCTGAGATGTGAAGCTGTATACAAGTTCCCTAAATAAAACAGATAACAAGCCAAGTTCAAGCCAGGTGTAAAGTTGTCTTGTTATGAAACTTAACAGAGCTTGTTTTAAATTGGGGCTCCTGGTTCAAGCATAATGCTAAGCAGGGATTCTGCTAGAGTGAAACTAAACTTTGCTAAAGTTGTCATGCTGGCCACATGGTAGAAGGAGGGGAAGAACACAAGCTTGATGTTTGGCATGGACTCATCCATGTAGCGCTAAAACGTACCATATTTTTCGCCCCATAAGACGCACTTAGTTTTTTGGGGGGGAAATAAAGGGGAAAAAATTTATTTCCCCCCCAGGCGCGGGGGAAGCCCGAGCTTCCCCCAACCCCAGCCCCCAGAACAGCCTGCTATCCGCAAGCCTAGGGAGCCTGGCGGGAAGTCGCGCCGGTCTCCCCAGGCTTGCAGAGAGCTGCGCGAAGCCTGGGCGCGCTCTTCAGCGCGCCCCAGGCTTCGGAATGCAGGCAGCTCTGCGCAAGCCTCAGGAGACCGGCGCAACTTCGCGCCGGGCTCCCTAGGGTTGCGCAGAGCTGCGCGAAGCCCGGGACTGCAGGCAGCTCTGCACAGCCCTTGGGCGACCGGCGCGAAGTCGTGCCGGTCTCCCAAGGGTTGCGCAGAGCTCTGAAGCCTGGAGAGCGAGGGCCGGTGCACCGACCCTCTCCTCCAGGCTTGAACAGCCTGCATTCGCCCCATAGGACGCACACACATTTCCCCTTCATTTTTGGAGGGGAAAAAGTGTGTCCTATAGGGCGAAAAATACAGTAACTCAGTATTACAAGCAAATTTGGCCTATTGTCTATTTATTAGCAGCAGATCATTAGTGTTTGTGTGACACACATACAGACTTTCTATCTTCAAGGACTCCTGTCAGATCCCTGTCGGTGAGGATCTAGTGTTTTATCTTTATCTCGGCAGTGAAACTGACATTAGGCTTGTTGTATGTATGCATTCATGCGTGTGCATGCATGCGCAGACACATTTTTAGTTTTTTGTTGTACTGTAATTAGCACATCTTACATTGCAGTTTAGGAACGCAGGTGGCGCTGTGGGTCACGGAGCCTAGGGCTTGCTGATCAGAAGGTTAGCGGTTCGAATCCCTGTGAAAGGGTGAGCTCTCATTGCTCTGTCCCTGCTCCTGCCAACCTAGCAGTTCGAAAGCACGAAGTGCCAGTAGATAAATAGGTACCACTCCGGCGGGAAGGTAAACGGTGTTTCCGTGTGCTGCTCTGGTTCTCCAGAAGCGGCTTAGTCATGCTGGCCACATGACCTGGAAGCTGTACGCTGGCTCCCTCAGCCAGTAAAGCGAGATGAGCGCCGCAACTCCAGAGTCGGGCACGACTGGACCTAATGGTCAGGGGTCCCTTTAACTTTTTACATTGCAGTTTTATTGTAGTTAGTTATGAAAACCAGACAATAGATTGTATGTTGTCAATTGAAAAGCATAAACAGGAAATAAGTGAGACTTCCATAGCTGAATACCTGCTTTCCTTAATATACTCAAAATCCAAAGGAGCCGTAGTAATCTGCCCCACATTTTGAGGGCAAGTTCACACAGCTGGTGTCATAGTCACCAATGATCATTTCCTCTTTCCATCCCAGCTTTGCTTCCATTATGGATTATTGCCAGAAATGATAAGACATTGATTCTGATGAATCGCCATATATAATGCCAGATGCCAGTAACCATTCACTTCCACCCTGCCAGTTGATAATAAATAATATAATTAAAGTTTTTACCCATTCTTAGTTTTATTATATTAAGTCTCCTACACACTGCCTAGAGATGACTGTAATTAAGCAGCTTACAAATTGTTGAAATGACATAAAAAAAATCCTTCCCTATCTTGCTGCAATGGGTATGAAAGCTGTGCCCGCTGTCATCAGAGGACCTATGCAGAAGACCTGATTTTCAACACCTTCATGTCACACTGATTTCCCTTTCCCCACCCAGCATGCAGCAATGGGGAAGAAAACTGGGCCAGTGGCGGATCTTGGGGTCTCCAATGTCCGTGGCGCCTTGTGCGACGCAGAAATTCAGCGCCCCTCTGCTTCTCGCACTCCATTCTAAATTGTAGTTGCGGCATCCCTGGCCGCACACCCTTTTTTTATATATAGAATCATAGAATCATAGAGTTGGAAGAGACCACAAGGGCCATCGAGTCCAACCCCCTGCCAAGCAGGAAACACCACCAGAGCACTCCTGACATATGGTTGTCAAGCCTCTGCTCAAAGACCTCCAAAGAAGGAGACTCCACCACACTCCTTGGCAGCAAATTCCACTGTCGAACAGCTCTTGCTGTCAGGAAGTTCTTCCCAATGTTTAGGTGGAATCTTCTTTCTTGTAGTTTGGATCCATTGCTCCGTGTCCGCTTCTCTGGAGCAGCAGAAAACAACCTTTCTCCCTCCTCTATGTGACGTCCTTTTATATAAGGCTCTGCACCCTGTACACGCTCCCCTAAATCGGCCTTTTACTGGGCCTCCTTCTTCTCAGCTGATGCTCACCGATGAGCTAAGGAGCAGAGAGGGACCTCCTCATTGCCATGATGGGGATAAAAATATCCCCGCCCCCAGCCAATCTGCATGAATTAGCTTTGTGGTGTGTTTTGTGTAACTCTGTGTATGTATAGCTTTTGTGTGTGTTTATAGGTTTTGCCCCACCCACCACTGGGAAACAGCTCCTGACCACGGATCCCGAGGAAATGCACACCCACCCCTACCTTTCAAATGCTAGTTTGCCTGCTTATGAAACTTCCGCCACTATGGAATATATATTGTCCAGAGTGGGCAGGACAGCCTTGACCTTATTCCCAGGTGTTGGCATAGAATCATAGAATTGTAGAGTTAGAAGGGACCAACCCCATGGAATGCAGGAATCCCCTTCAGAAGAAATGGAATGAGCCTCAAGTGGCTGCCTAGGGCATATCCCACCTCCATACGTGCTTTCAGGGTTACTCATACAGCTTGCTCTCAAACAATAACTTTACAGATTTCCTGGCCTTCCATATACCCGAAGGAGCGTCTCCACCTTCATTGTCCAGCCTCCTCCTCTGAGGGTCTTCTGCTGATACCCTCATTGACAGATGTGAAGTTACAGGGAACCAGGCAGAGGGCCTTCTCGGTGGTGGCGCCCGCCCTGTGGAACGCCCTCCCATCAGGTGTCAAGGAAATAAATAACTATCTGACTGTTAGAAGACATCTGAAGGCAGCCCTGTTTAGGGAAGTTTTTAATGTGTGATGTTTTATTCTGTTTTTAATATTCAGTTGACAACCGCCCAGAGTGCCTGTGGAAACCCAGTCAGATGGGCGGGGTATAAATAATAAAGTATTATTTACCTTTTTACATTGCAGTTTTATTGTGGTTAGTTATGAAAACTTCCCTTTAAAGGGAAGTTTTTAATGTTTGATGTTTTATCGTGCTGGGTAATAACAGTAATAATAATAATAATAATAATAATAATAATTCATCTCAGGGATGCTTCTGCTGGCTTGTTTCTTGAATATTTTTTAGAAAGCACATTTGAGGTCTGTATCTGATTATTCAAAAGTTCAAACATGCACCTTATCCAGTCATTTTCAGTCCTGCCCATGTCTTTGATAGACATGTATGACAAAGTAATGTGAGAAGCGACTGTGCCTCTTGACGTTGGGGGTGCAGCAGTGGTGGTGAGGAGTAGGGAGACCTTTTGTATTAAAGAACTCCTTAATGCCAGCAGCATCTTGGCTTTGCGTTCTTGAATAACTCATAGATATAAATGCCTGTTGATTTTGTACCTGTTTGTCTTGTCTGTTCCCAGCGTAAGAGAACAATGCCTCTGCCTCTGGTGCTGACGTGGGGGTGAGGTGAGGCTTTGCAGCATGTTTTGAAGCGTTGAGTAATGCACCTGAATACTGTTTTTCTCTAATTGCTTCCAAGAAACAATTTTCACTCCAGGAAGCTGGAGTTGCTGAATTTTCTGCATGCATCTGAAAGAGGTTCCTTGTTTGTTTGTTTGACTGACAGTTTGCTGTGTGATCTTTGCTCTGAAAAGACGTGTTTTGTTTCAGCCTTTCTTACTGAAGCAGGCTGGTGTTTTTTGTTCTTTGTTTTTACTTGTGCCAAATAAGTTGTTTTTACTACATCAGGTAAACAAGAGGATATCTCTTTGCATTTATTGTATTGCTGCCTCCAAAGGAATAATGGCAGCTTTTATAATTTCTCTCTCTGGCTCACAAAAGACTTGACGTTAACTGCAGAAAAGATGAGAATTTTTATTCTATTTTAATGGGCAATCTTCATCCGTAGCATGCCCAAAAGTGTGCTTCGTTTCAGTAAAGCTGCAAACCTCACATGCCAGGGGTTTTCTTTATTCCTTTTTAGGAAGAGAGCCTAGTGGAGTTCAAAGCTTACGCCGTTCTCTTTTGCCCATGCATTATTTAGATTGGCATTTCAGTAAACAGATTAAACTGGGTGACACTGGAGCTGTTGGAAATAGTCTTCAAATCTAGATTAGAAATTGCCTGCCTCTGTGAAGCCATCCACAGGTGCCTCTGCAAATAAACCACCTATCAGTAAAGTGTAGAATTAAATGTTGCCTTTAACTGACGTTTAATAAAACCTTTACATTTTTATTGTGCTGATTGCAAGAACGTAGACCTACTTTGTGCATCAGGCAGATCAGTCTTTTCATAAATGCCATTCTGCTGAACTGTATAAGGAGCACCAGAGAACAATACACATTTGGGTGGTGATACTGCAGTTTTCTCCCTGGGGAAATCCACCAAGCTGCCACATTTTTAGATAGATTCTGAAACTGGGAGGGGTGGGTGGGACTACAGTAAGCCTCAACTTGTGTGCATTTAACTTGTGTGCATTCAGCATGATGCACATGGCAAAATAAAAAAGGTAAAATTAAACAAGGGGAGGAAAGTAGTTCTAGGAAGAATGACTTTGGCAATCCCACCTGCCATTGAATCTAATGGGTTTTGACTATATGCAGCTTTTGGCTTTAGGCACAATTCCCAGAATGTTATCCGATATTAATAATAATAATAATAATAATAATAATAATAATAATTGCCCTTCAACACAAGATCTCTGAATAATATTGTTGAAGGCTAACCTGTAGGCTAACTGTATTATTATTATTCCAAAAGGTTCTTAATGACAAACTTCCCTGTTCTTTTGATTTGTTAGATTTTTCTACTGATGTCTATTAATTGCTTGTTCTTTGATCTTGATGAGTTTTTTTATGTTTGGACTTTGCAAGCAGCCTTGAAAATACTTTTATTTTTAAATGCAGGATCTAAGTGATAGAAATTTGTTAGAAGTGTCAGAAGGAAGTGGTGGGATAGCATTGGTGCCTTCACAACTTTTGCTTGTGTAGTCATATTTTTCTGATTTGGGTTGTTAAACTCCATCCCTATTTTATATGTGCCACTAAATCCGGGCTCACTTTGACTCTCTCTGTCTATGGTGACATCTTGGCATGTTTGGAGGCAGTCTGACGCCAAGTTGGGACTTGGAGGCAAGAGATTTGGTCCACTTCTTTTTCTATTCTTTAAAGTTAAAGATTTGTTGAGGTTTAGATTAGGAAGCCTTCTGTAAGACAAAGTCCTCTGATCTTCTTAATTTGGCAGTTGTTTGTACATGCAGGATTCATTGGTTTTATCTCTGCCCCATTGATTGTGACAGATCAAATATAAAAATATTTACATTAATTTGTTGAACTGATTTTGCTGTTGTGGATCTGTACTATTAAAGTATGCACTTTCTGTTTGTCTCGGATTCTTGACAGGATGGGCTGCGGGGAAACAGCTATGAAAGAATTTCTAGCTGCAGTTCTATTCTGAAGACAGACACAGAACTCTCAAAAACTTCAAGTGACAGTGAGCTGCAAAAGGACATTCGGATACAAGACTCCCAACTAGCTGAATGCCCTGTAATAAGTGCAGCCCAGCCTAGGGTGGTATGTGGAACTGACCGTGCCCTTCCGGATGACTCTGAGATTACGTCTTTGACCAGTGACCAAAGTCATTTCAGCGACCAGCCGCGGGCACACTCAGAAAATCTCTCAGACTCCAGCCACAATGTTCACACTCCCTTGCCTATCGCCACAGACACAAGTCTGAAGGGGCTGACAGGTACCACCAAGGCAGCCACAGGAAAAGAAGCAAGTGCCTCAGCACAGGCAAAATTGGCTGCGGACACCTCTTCTACAGAATCTGCTAAACAAATTACATCCATTACTTTTGCATCCCGTAAAAGGACATCGTCTTCCCAGGTGCCCTGTGCCAGCATTCCTGAAGCCATTCCTTTGGAAACCCAGTCGATTGGCAGTGAACAGCTGGAGTCTAGTAAGCTGCATGTGGGAACTCCTCAACCCTGCGCTTCTGCGAGCGTGACAGCCGTTCATGCGCCAGATAAGAGTGTTGAATTTCGTCCAGGTGGAGACAGCCATCGTCATGTGCCCATGGTTGTCAGCAAGGAGGCATATCCTCAGGAAAAGAGTTCTGCCTCTATGGAGAATTCCCAGCCGATTTGCACTGATCAAAAGGTCCACTCAGTTACAGAGAATCGGGAAGAAACCCAGGCTGCATACCAAGGCTTTACTAGGCTAAATAGATACGACAGGCCTTCAGTTAACACTTCTGATAATAAATTTAACCCAGGAGAAACTATGGGTGATCCTCTCCGTCCCGTCAACCCACCTCAACAAAAGGCAGAGGATGCTTCTCAAGATGTCTCGAGAAGCTTTGCTGGTATTCCTAAGCCACACTTTCCTCCAGGCAGGGAAAGTACGTTGACAAAAGAGAGCAAATCTGCCTCTGATCAATATTTATGCAGGGCTGAAGCCATGGACACTGGAAGCAGCAGCCTGTTATCCGCTTCCTCTCCAGATCACATTTCAACGACCATTCCAGTCTCTCCTTCATCACCAACCCGGAAAGCCCTGTCTGGTGTCCATATGACCCTCTCTCCAAAGCATGTGGAATTGCCTCTTCCTAGTTTAATAGATGCTGGTGCTGAAAAGAGACGAGTTGGTGGATTTAAAAGCGACCCTCATCCAGCAACTTTAAATGATCCGAGTCATTCGTTAGAAGCGACCTCTAATTTGAAACCCACAGAACGTTTCACAAGCACCCAGGATTCTGCATACTTTCCAAGGTCTCCTACACCAGATTCCCACTTTAAGCATTCCCATGTTCCAGTTGTAGCAAAACCAGCCCCAAGTCAGGAGCCACTGGAGATCAGGCAGATTTTCCCAGTTACAGACCGAGGAAGCACAAGAGTACCGGGTTCGTATTGGCAGAGTCCCGAAGAGAACTTAAAAACCACAGCCTCTTCCCAAACAGAAAGGATGTCGTCGGATGCCATCACTCAAATAACAACAGAAAGCCCTGAGAGGGCAACCTATTCTGCAGAGATATTTGTTAGCAATGACAGCGGTGACGTGGAAGCTCTGAGACCTTCTCATCGAAAGAGTCATGAAATGCTAGGTTCTACAGCTGCTCCCATGAGCCACATCTCAGTTTTGAACAGGCAGGCTGGTGAGAAGTTTAATTTACTGTCCTTTGATCTGAAGAGCTATGCCTAATGAGCAAGGCAGCCTTGTTCATATTATATATTATCCCCTCTCAGTTGTGAGACCTACTTTCTCCTTGAGGGATATTTGAGTAAATCTACCAGTTTAGCTTGTGAATCCACTGCCACATTTTCTGTGGGATGGAAAAGTCATACAAGGCAGGTGAGAGCCTTGTTCCTTGCAGACCTGTACATGGACCGAAGTGTATACGTTTAGGATCCTAGCTATGCCAACAGATTATAAGGTTAAAGTAGTATCGCATTTGGTGCTAAGTTTGCGTCCTTGTCTTGTCCACCTTGCTTTCCATGCCTGCAGGTACGCCAAGGTTGCTGCCATATAAACCACCTGGGAGCTCAGAGATGTACTACGTTCCCTGTCCAAAAGAAACCCTCAGACTCTCACGGGTCCGATCAGAGACTACCATGGAGAGCTCCCACTCAGGTATTTCCTGTTGCTCCAAACTTTTATCTAAGCTGCTCAGTACCATGGCTGTTCTCAGCAGAGCCAAGGAACTGACTTTGCATAAAATGCAAGAGCGTAAGCAGTTTGTTGTGCTGTGTTTAAATTTGTTGAATAGAGTTGAACTGCAATAGTCTAGATTTACAACAGTTGTCGAGCAGAAACAGAACTCGTATGCGTGCTTCATTTAAGCTTTGCCTTTTGGTTTGAAATGGCTTTTTAGATTTGAATGACAGGGGGAACAATTTAGTAGCTAGAAAGGCAGCACGATTTCTTTCTACCAATGTTGGTGGGCCCCAGATGTTTTTAATTTTCCTGGTTCTGCTTTGAACTGCTGCATCATTCCAGTTCTTTCTCTCCCTCCAGCAGTGTTTCCCTCTTTTGTTCCAGTTTTCTATGTGTTTTTATCTTTAGGTAAGGTATCAGTGAAGTATTCTGGGAAGCAGTTCAATGTTCAGTTTAAACAGATACCCAAAATGTTTGCGTTGCCTGTATTTGTACAAGAGCTTAGTTAACCTGTACTCTGTACATACTCAGAGGCATGCTTGCCTTTATTACTACTTGACCTGTAAAGTAGTTCTGAATAATGCTGAGTCCTGCCACTGAATGGGAAACAGATTCTTTCTCGTTTGGACCATCTTTCTAAGGTGTTGGACGGTGCTTCTTATTTGTTAAGTTCAATCACAAGACTGGCATGAATTTATTAGTCTTTCTTCCTCAAAGCAGGCAATAGCTTTGAGCTTCTCCCTGATGGAAAAGATGACCTGGTCAGAATTAGACCTCACATGCTTTTAGGTTCTGTTGTTTGCCTATCCTGTTTGGTTGGAACCGGAACCAAGAAGACATAGCTAGTGGTTGGAACTCTGTGAACGTAGTTCTGTAATGTTCAGTTTGTAAGTTTATTGTTCTAGCTGAAAGTCATGACAAACCTCTAGCAAATAATACAGAACATTCATCCATAGTATAAGCCAACATCCCTGAAGTATGAGAGAGAAGATACCAGAGACACCATCTAGCTTGATTTCAGATTAAACCTCCAAATCACCACAACTTGAAGTGATTCAATCTAACTCATTATTCCTGTGTGTTATGAAGCTATTGTTTTCACTCAGAAGAAACCCAACCGTTTCTGCCAGGGTGTACCTGTTTGCTTGTGTGAACAGAGGTTTCAAAAAGCCGTCTCTTGGATCTCTAAATAAAAGGCAGGCTAACAGATAATGAATGATCTCTTCCACCTGAGGTTGACCACAGACGCGAAGTCTGTCTACATAGGGGACCTTGTTGTAGCATCCGTCCAAGACCGCAGTGGAGTTCAGTAACGAAGAAGAAGAAGAAGAAGAAGAGTTTGGATTTGATATCCCGCCTTTCACTCCCTTTAAGGAGTCTCAAAGCGGCTAACATTCTCCTTTCCCTTCCTCCCCCACAACAAACACTCTGTGAGGTGAGTGGGGCTGAGAGACTTCAGAGAAGTGTGACTAGCCCAAGGTCACCCAGCAGCTGCATGTGGAGGAGCGGAGACTCAAACCCGGTTCCCCAGATTACGAGACTACCGCTCTTAACCACTACACCACACTGGATGCTTGTAATCCTAGAAAGCATACATCCATTTTTAAAAAGAACTAAATTAACTGATAGAGTTGGAATATGTCTCGTTTAATTGGGAAAATGTTAGGTGACCAAGTGCTGTTGACCCAGAATATAAATCTGCTTCCGTTGTAGACTTTAGAACTGTTACAACACAGAAACATGCTGCTGCAGGATGTTTATTTTCTCTGTGTCTTTTTTTTTAATGTACTTTTTCTTTCCCAGTCCTCTTTCTCATATATACATATATATTGGTCTCCCCACTCTCTGTCTCCTAACAGGATCAAACGATGCCACCCCTCCAAAATTTCTAGCACAGGCACTTGGCTCAGGGGATGAGATTCCACCAAGTCCTGTAGCTATCAAGCACAGAGAGGGCATCTATAGTAAAAGGGCTTTTCCTAAGGAGGCTTGGACAGGAGAAGATGCAGGAGCACAGGAAGGTGTCAAAGGTGACTATTCTTCTATATCTCTGAAGGTGGAACAAGACCTGCTTTTGTGGCATCTGAATATTACAGTTTGGAAGCCTCTTATGTATTGTGCTAGCTCCGGAGTGTCCCAAGAATGATTGTTTTGCTATGGGAGTTGAAATAACTTGTTGCTGTTGCTATAATCTGCCCTTCACCAAATGCTTCCAGGGGGAGCTAGAAAAATATCTTGGTTGAAAACAAAAACACACTACAGTGGTACCTCAGTTCTCGAATGGCTTGGCTCCTGAACAAATCGGCTCCCAAACCGGGAAGTAAGTGTTCCGGTTTGCAAACGTTTTTTGGAAGCCGAACGTCTGACGCGGCTTCCGCTTGAGTGCAGGAAGTTCCTGCAGCCAATTGGAAGCCGCGCCTTGGTTTTCAAACGGTTTCGGGAGTCGAACAGACTCCCGGAACGGATTAAGTTTGAGAACCAAGGTATCACTTTATCATTAAAATATTAAACTAAAATTACAAAATCACACAATCACAAAAGTAACAGAACAGCAGTTCAGAGCATCAGTACCGGAGGATATTTTTAGGATGGCATGAAAAGGATGCTCTTTTTTATTCACCAGCAAAAGATTGTGGATGAAGATGATTTCTGAAAACGAAGGGCAAAATGATTAGATGCTGTGATCCCTGGAAAAACACCTCGAGCCACAATTAGTCTTTTTAATGGGGGGCGGGCAGTAAATGGTTAACCCTTCCTTCCCCCAACTGTAACCTCCAGGAAGATCGTACACACCTCTGGCCCAGAAATCAGACTTAGAAAACGTTACAAACTGTTTTTATATATGTGAGTGTGGTGCTTGCTGTTCCCATTTGTGGCCATGGATCTCCTATTTTTGAAATTTTCAATATCTCTGTCAGGGAACTGCCATCAGTGTCTGAGGGAGAGAGCAAGCTCCAAAGGGATCCCAGAGAGCGTCCCGGGAGTGGGAGAGGCAGCCCGTCTTCTGGGGAAGAGAATCAACGTAGCTCCAGTGGAGAAGGGGGGCAGATGGGGGAATCGGCGAGGCGGTCCCATGACTCCTTGCCGGGGACCAGCGGGGAGAGGAAGGGTCCTCCGCTGCCTACGCCCTCCTTGCGCAGAAGGCTTCCGCGCAGGGAGAGTAGGAGGAGACTAGGCGTCAAAGAGCTTCTTTGCTGGAAGAAGTTTAAGAAACGCCCACTGACGGATTCTGCCAGTGATTGAGACAGGCACGGGCGAGTGGCTGCCCGGACAGGAAAGGTTCACTCAGGCAACCCAGCCAGAGGTTGGGACAAGCTTACGCCCGAGCAACCCCTAGAACCATTACAATCTCTATGGTAGTTTTTGTTATGTGAATGGTGCCACAGACCCGCTGGGTGTGTTAGGCAAACTCCCTGGGGTCCATGGACCACCAATTGGGAACCACTGCCTTAAACCAATGCTTCTGTTCTGGACCCACTGCTTGGCAACATAACTGAACCCAGAAACCTGGTCTTCTCTTTGTGCTCTTTCACTCAGTATCCTCTGGCAGTGCAGAACGAGCCAGCCAAAGTTTCTCTCACTGCCGAAGGAAGGAAAGAAAGGTGTTAAACAGAATCTGCAAATGCCAAAAGAATTAGAGCAGAACAACGTAGTATTTTAGGGAGAGTGTGGACAGAATATATGAGCTTTTCCATGCAAACTTTATAGGTTCGTAACTGGCTGCGTTTCCACATTAAAAAATCTCAGTGCGGCAACATGCTCAGAAGCCGAAGGAGAATTCTTGCCTTTGTGCCTTTGATCAGCTCTTGCCATGGAGTGACATACAGAACTCTTGAAATGTTAGTATTAGAAGGAAGGGAGGACAGAAGAACGTTGGGGAGATGAGCACATTAAAAAATGTTCATGCCTCGGGCGAGGGTGTGTGTGGAGAGCTGTGTGTTCTGCCAGAGAGGGGGCGGGGGGAAAAACCCAGCCTATAACTAGATAATCTAAATTCAATGGTCCGAATAAATGCAGGCAGCCGTCCATTTTGCACAGCCTTATTTTCAGCTTGAGGAAAGAGTTTGTGCTACTGTTTTATTTTCCTGACAAGATTCCACAAGCCTAGGCATAAGCAATTATTTTTGTTGTTGGTCTAGCAGAGGAATGGACAACTGCTTGCACAGAGAAACTAGTCTTCTCTGAGTTCATTTATACAACTCCATTTATTACTGTTATTATTGCTCTGGCCCATAAACGGACTTGGAAGTGCATTGAAATGGATTTTAACCGTTGTGCTTATTAATTTTATTTGTTTCACTTCCCTTGTGTTTATGTTTTTCATTTTGTATTGTTGCTTTTTCATTATATTTATCTTCTTTTTTTGTATAATTTGTATTATTTTTGTTGGCCGCCTTAAGCACAGTTGTCTTGTTTTTAAAGTTACTTTTTTCAAGGTACGCTTTGACACGTTCTTCTAATTGTATCTCACCTTGGCAGAGTCCTGTTTTGAAAGGCAGCATACAAATCCCCAAATTAATGGGTGAAAATAAAATAAACTAAACATGTAAGGAGACTGCGCCTAGAGTTGATGAATAGCACTGTCAATTTAGAATGAGAACCATCATGTATTGTAGCTGTTTCTTTCCAGCCGAGCTTAAATATTTCATTTTCTTTTCCCTTCCTTTCCCCCTTTAGGAAGTCCCAAAGTCCCAAATCCCTTGGAATCTGTGGCAGCTACCCATTCAGTGTTCAGATCGGCTCAGTTTTACCTGCATCACCCAGTGCCTCTGCAGCATGAAATTGACTTCCTTGCTGGGAATGATGGCTTGGGACAGTATGCAGTGCAAGAGCGCCCAGCCCTTCCTTCAAAAGACATCTTCCAGTACGACGGAACATCCAGAAGAGGTCAGGCTGTTTTCTCTCCGCACCAGCCAACAGGAGAGGAGAGGTTTTCCCCACCAAATTTTGAGCCAGATTACAGTGTGCTGGAGGAATTGAGGTTCAACGAGACTTTGGAGAGAGGCTCTCCAAGTAAGGAACTACAACAGCCTGATGGGAGGAAAAGTGGCCACAAATTGTCCAAAGACCAGCTTCTTCCAAGCAGCCAAAGGAGCAGCTTAAAAGAGAAGCGGGTAGCCGATCTCCCAGCGACGCAAAGTGCTCCTTTCACAGGCAGTTTAGATGAACTCTGGGCTAAATACCTGGAGCGTCAGAGGCAGCATCAGCAACGTAGTCCGAGTGGCAGCAGCAGAAGTGAGCTGTCTCTAGTAGAGCGACTTGATAGATTAGCCAGACTTCTGCAAAACCCAGTTAGGCACACCATGGTGCCTGTCAAGGATGAAGATGTCCATGTCCAAGTGGAACCAAAGGGAAAAGAGTCAAAGAAGATCAGTTCCCAAGGAAATAAGGCATACAAAGGTAGAGTTGCAATCCATAGCCCCAGAGGAAAGGTGGAAGAGAGCCCAGAGGCCACCAGCAATACACGGCTATCAAAATCTAGGCATTATAAAGTTGGCAGCGCCACAGCTCTTTACCACATGGATAGAAATATGGAGCAGCATCGGAATTCGGCAATTCTGAGCGACACCTCTTCTGAAATGAGGCCTGTGAAAGATTCCATCGTGTTAACCGACATCACCTCCGATTCAGAAGTGACTCAGCCCGAGACGGACACTGCGTCTCGGACCGAGGCAAGTGTTTCCGTTTCCACGATCGACACAGAGAGGTTGATCCGGGCCTTTGGGCATGACAGAGTGCAGGTGTCTCCCAAACTGTCCCAGCTCTACAGCGCCATCCGACACCAGAAGACGCGCTCAGAGAAGTATGCCAAGGGGAGCAGGAAAGACAGGGCAGCAGAATACCAAAGAACGGCTCATGCTGAGCCAAAAAGAAAAGAGACCCAGGTAAGTATAATAAATAATAATAATTAATTTTTATTTATACCCCGCCCTTCCCGGTTCAAAAACTGGCATCAGGGCGGCTAACAACAAATTTAAAACACTTAATTGTAAAAGCAGCATAAAATACAGTATAAAAACATGAATAACAAAATTCAAAGTTCAGAAATCAATTTAGGGGAAATCCATCTAATAAGCATTAGATAGTCACCAGGGCTAGCTGGCTGAATTAGTCCTACTTGGGCCAGAGAGGAGGCCAGGGGAGAATTAGCTGTGGGGTCTCAAAGCGGGTGATCTTCATAAAAGGGGAGGGGGAGGGAAGAGAAGAGAAGGGAAATAAAAGATCAGGCTGAATTCAAATTAAAGGCCAGGCGGAATAGCTTTGTCTTACAGGCCTGACAAAAAGAGGTTAAATCCTGAAGGGCCCTGGTCTTGTGGGACAGAGCAGTCCCGTAAACATGAGGGCCCTAAGCCCAAGTATGTAGCATAGGAACCTGTAGGGTAATCCACAGCAAAAAAAAAAAATACTGTGATCTATTATCTGCATAAAACAGGTGTAAGGAAAGAGTGACAACTAGCCTTTAATTTGAAGATCAGCTAAGCTAGGTGGGCGGAGGCAGGCTAATCTTCATTGGGGTCTCTCTGTCTTTCTCCTCCTCTGCATCAGCTGAGCTCAGGCCTCTGCGTGTAAGAGTATGGAAAGGTCAGCCTTGTTGTCCTTTAGCTTTCATAAGCAGCAGGTGAAATGGTCTTTAGCTGTGCCTTCATTGTGCATCTTTAGACACTGGGCGGAAACGTTCCTCTTCAACCAGGCCTTTGGCTGATTAACAGCCCATGTCCTTTTAAATGTTTTTGTGGGAATGGGCTTTTTTGTTTTGTTTTGTTTTGTTTTTGTTCTTGTTTTTGTTACGTACTTTGTGGTTTTATTCTGTGATTCATCATGATATCTCAGAACAAAGGGTGGCATACAAATTTTAGTAGTAGCAGCAGCAGCAGTAGTAGTAGTAATAATAATAATAGTAATTGTAATAATAATAATAATCCTGTCATACTTCAACATGACATAATAAAGGGGGGCATCATGTTCCCTGTTGTTGCTAATTTATATGCCAAAGTGGTTTCTTATATTGGGGTCTCACCCCAGATGGCGACCGGTAACTTTCCTTCCATACTTCCCCACCAAGCTACTTACATTCATCCAAGCTGGAAGCCATGAACAGGGGGGATAATTGCCCCATCCTCACGACCACAGAAGTGACGATTTCTGAAGGAAGTGGATGTGGACATTGTGTTCTAAAAAGCTAGCTGGCTTGTTTCTCAGAGCCAAGGTGGTGCTCTTTGTGTGCGTGTGAGCGAGATTGGCTGATTTGATTCCTTTCCAAACACCGACAAACGAACTTGCAGTCCTCTGAGACCTTCATGCATCTGCCTGATTCTTTCCTTTAGGCAACGGACTCTTTCATTTCTTCGGATTCCGTTTCTACCATCAGCAGCTCCCTTGGACCAAGCCCTGCTCTCAGTAGCAAGCGGAGCAGGCGGATGTTGAACAAGGCTGTCCAGGCAGGTGAGCAGCCCTCATCCCGACTCTTGCCTTCATGTCTGCGCTCTTGCCTTTTTGTTGTGATCCTTTTCAGAGTCCCTCGCTCTTACTTCAGTCAGCCAGGTGTGCTTGCAGAGCTTTCTCCGCCTGCACATCTTTGCAGCTCAGATCCTTTCAAAAAACGGTTAACAAGTTGAACTCTGGTGAAATGGCACTCCCCTTCCCTCCACGGGCTTCTTTGATGCTAGCAGGTAGTTCCTTTGTTCGTTCTGTGGGCTTTCTTGACTCTGGCCTCGTAATAAATCTTGGGTCAGAGAACTGACTTGTTCTGTGTGGTATTTTCCCCACTTGCAAGCACAGTCGTAAACGTTCTCACTACTGCAAATAATTGTCAGTTCTCTTGCTCAGACGGCTGGAGCTTCACTCCTTATTTGATGATGTGAATCTTGCTCTTATCTGTTGTGTGATTTCTGTTCTGGGACAAAACTTATCTAAAAACGGAGGCCAGTTATATACAACCATGTACTGTCCTCATCCCCTATTGAAACTGGAGCCATGCACAACCTCCAGTTTTCTGCAGGTCTATACATTTTTGGCAGAATGAAGAGTTTTAGTGTTGAAGGCGGGACCTAAGAGGACATGTGCTCCAGCCCTCCTTCTCTGAGGCAGGGTGAGGGATGCAGGAATTCCACATTTCATAAGGCAGGCATGGTTCTTGGTGTGTTTTGTTTGGTTAAATCATGGGTAGGCAAACTAAGGGCCGGGGGCCGGATCCGGCCAGTTGCCTTCTAAATCCGGTCCGCGGATGGTCCGGAAATCAGTGTTTTTACATGAGTAGAATGTGTCCTTTTATTTAAAATGCATTTCTGGGTTATTTGTGGGGCCTGCCTGGTGCTTTTACATGAGTAGAATGTGTGCTTTTATTTAAAATGCATCTGTGGGTTATTTGTGGGGCATAGGAATTCATTCATTTCCCCCCCTCCAAAATATAGTCCGGCCCCCCACAAGGTCTGAGGGACGGTGGACCGGCCCCCTGAAAACGTTTGCTGACCCCTGGGTTAAATCAAGGTTCTCCCTGTTAAGATATGGGGTCCTCTGCTGCATCAGGCCAGAGCTCCACCTAGTCTAGCATTCTGTTCTCATTCCCGTGCACGTTGGAAAATGAGTTAGAAGGGTCTTCTGAAATTTCTGATCCCATTGTGTGGTTTCAGCAACATGTTCAGTGATTGGACCCAGGCTCTGTGCAGGGCTTCTTGTTCTACAGACTAATGTATATTGGGGGGGAAAGCAAGTGTGTATATTCAGAAAACGAACATGGAAGCACATGTGACAAAATCAGTACATGGAAGAAATAAATCCTGTAGCTAGGTGTAATGGTTCTAGGGGTTGCTCGTGTGTAAGCTTGTCCCAACCTCTGGCTGGGTTGCCTGAGTGAACCTTTCCTGTCCGGGCAGCCACTTGCCCGTGACTGTCTCAATCACTGGCAGAATCCATCAGTGGACGTTTCTTAAACTTCTTCCAGCAAAGAAGCTCTTTGACGCCAAGTCTCCTCCTACTCTCCCTGCGTGGAAGCCTTCTGCGCAAGGAGGGCGTAGGCAGCGGAGGACCCTTCCTCTCCCCGCTGGTCCCCGGCAAGGAGTCATGGGACCGCCTCGCCGATTCCCCCATCTGCCCCCCTTCTCCACTGGAGCTATGCTGATTCTCTTCCCCAGAAGACGGGCTGCCTCTCCCACTCCCGGGACGCTCTCTGGGATCCCTTTGGAGCTGGCTCTCTCCCTCGGACACTGATGGCAGTTCCCTGACACTAGGCTACTATATCTGATGATTTTGCTGTGTGTATGTGTCAGCCTTCATTCTGCATAGCTCTTCACACTGTTCATTGATGCTTGAGCATCCTTCAGAATCTCAAGGAAGGAGATGTTGCTGCAAGTCCTAGACATTCCAGTTTCTGTCCAAAAATACTGTATATTTCTCATATTTTTATCTCTTTTTTTAAAAAATAATATTTATTAAAATTTCACAAGAAAAAAACCACATTAATGAAGAAAAAATTAACAATAAAAAGAAAAAATACAAAGGAAAAAAGGAAAAAACAATTAAAAACAATTTCATCTTTTCCTCACTTCTTTTACATTTACTTGTTTCTCGGACCTCCTCTTACCTCCCTCTTTGTATTCTAATTAAATATGTTAATCCAACAATTCCTTTCCCTCCTTTTTAATCCTAATCTTTAATCTTGATATAATATAACTTTAAATTTTAGATTTTACATATTAAAACCAATTTTTCCATATTCTTTTAGCCTGTACAGCTAGAAACCCCTTAACTTCAATCCAACATCATTGTAACATTCATTAATTTTGCAATATTTCTGTAAATAGTCTTTGAATTTCTTCCAATCTTCTTCCACCGACTCTTCTCCCTTCTCATATTTTTAAAGACTCAGAAACCAAGAGGAAAGTAAAAAAAGAAGTCAGGATCTTTGCTTTTCATATCTTGTTTCTGTTTTATTAACTTCGAGCAGGTTTCACATGTGGATCTAATTCCAGAATTTAATGCATCTCTGGGTTATTTGTGGGGCCTGCCTGGTGTTTTTACATGAGTAGAATGTGTGCTTTTATTTATAATGCATATATTATATATATTATATTATGCAAATGTGCGTATTTTTCAATGTGTCTAGAGCAGACCGTGTCAAGCCAGCCCATAATCAGTTTGCAATGTGTGGCCCTCTGTGGTAAACATTGAAAAATCAATTGTTAAAATACAATTAAACACCAGTAGAATTAAAATAGAATTACATGCATAAAACCTGTTTAGAACGTACCACTATCAAATCCCTTTCTTTTGAACCCCAGGAGACTTTGAGATTGTGAACAGCGCCACCAAGAAGCACACCCGAGACGTCGGCCTGACTTTCCCCACTCCGACATCCAGCCAGGCGAGGCTGCGGGAAGATCCCGAGAGTGGGACGGAGGGCGAATTTGCTCAGCTGGATGGGTTCCTTCTGGAAAGCAAGGGCAAGCAGAGGAGGCAGCATGGCAGGCTTCTTGCAGAGAAAAAGCCGAGGAGGAACAAGCCACGGTGGCGGCAAGGTCTCTGACAAGTGTTGCATCTTTTGTGAATGAGGAAGGACTCGCGTGGTCCTCCAGACTTTTGTCTGTTGTTGCTGTGGTGCCATAAAAACCAGCAGTTAGGTGCACGTAGAGGAGAGCGCGCACACATCATAACAAATAAAAGGTGGCTGTAAAACGCACCATTGTACCCACACACCAGTAGATTGATAGGGAGTTACATGTGCTACTGTTTCTTCTGTAGCCGATTTCCCTGTCCTGCCCCTGTTGATAGGCTTTGTTCACGGCTATCCGCGGAATGAATCTTTGGTTTCACTAGGGATGGGGAGTCGGACAATTCTGACAAAGAGCCTCGGGGCAAGACAAAGGCAGACGAGCCTGCGTCAGCCTGCCTCTAGGATGTGGCCATAAGCAAAAAATAAATGAGAGTTCCAGGTTAACTTTTGCAAATACAGTAGTACCTCAGGTTAAGTACTTAATTCGTTCCGGAGGTCCGTTCTTAACCTGAAACTGTTCTTAACCTGAAGAACCACTTTAGCCTATGGGGCCTCCTGCTGCTTCTGCGCCACCGGAGCACGATTTCTGTTCTTATTCTGAAGCAAAGTTCTTAACCCGAGGTACTATTTCTGGGTTAGCGGAGTCTGTAACCTGAAGCATCTGTAACCTGAAGCGTCTGTAACCCGAGGTACCACTGTATGCTATGTAGCTACTGCCCTTTGATCAGAAGAGCAAGCAAAATACAACACAGTCCCTGTCCGAAAGGGGTTCTTAACCCGAGGTACTATTTCTGGGTTAGTAGAGTCTGTAACCTGAAGCGTATGTAACCCAAGGTACCACTGTACAGGCATACTTCGGGTTGAGCATTTTCGGGTTGCGCTCTGTGGCGACCCGGAAGTAATGGAACGCATTACTTCCGAGTTTTGCCACATGCACAGACGCACAAAATGATGTCACACGCATGCACAGAAGTGGTGAATCACGACTGGTGCATGCGGGTTGTGTTCGCTTCAGGATGCAAACGGGGCTCTGGAACGGATTCCATTCGCATTCAGAAGTACCACTGTAAGTAAATACAATATGGGGTGTGTGGGATCCTAGTTCATATGTTCATCTCCAAAACACTCTTGGTCTCAAAACTACCCAAAAGCAGGTAGATTACATTGCTTAATCCAGGGGCGAGGAATCTGTGGCCTACCAGATGATGTTGTGTTGCAGTTTGCATAATCCCAGGGAGTAGGGGATTGGAGGGCCCCTGCCTTGCTTAATCCAGGAAGTGCAGCTCAGCTTCAAATTCCAAGAAATTCTGAGGCTCACTTCCCCAGAGGCATCTCTTGGGAGTACCCACCCCAACCCCAGATCTCCTGCTTGGTTTTCTTTTGCAGTCACGCTGGCCCTGCAGATACTGCTACTACCACAGTCTTAAACTTGTTTAGCACAACACAACATGCTAGGCACAGGCCAGGAAGAAAAAGGGTTCTATATTACCCTGCCACAGGTTGCTCTTATTTTGTTTTGTTTATGCAATAATAATTCACACCCCACATCTTTGAAAGGGCTGTCAGCGCTGCAGGCAAAACATGGAAACATCATATCATATTAGAACAATGAGGAATAAAACAAAAAACAATTCAGCAGCAAAACCACTTATTTAACCTGCAAAAAATAAAATCAGGGAGAGAGTGCAGCCCTCAAAAGTTGGTTTAAATGGTTGCCAAAATACCCCCTGCCAAACCACCTGGGCCAGTGAATTCCACAGCCTGGATGCTTCAGTGGAAGAGGACCAATCCTGTGCCCTTGTCCTCTGCACCTTCAAAGGCAGGACATGCAGCAGGTCCTCACCTGGTGGCTGCTGTGTGCCAGTACAGAAGACAGGCCTTCAGACACCCCAAACAATTTAAGGCTTTAAACGTGCTAATAAATTGGGACCAGAAGCAAACAGATTTCATTTCATCATCTGGAGATCAGGGGATTTTCTGCTATCTGTCTCCTAAAGCTATGAAATAGCAGATTAAAACTATACAGAGCAAGATGTTTTAAACAAACACTGCATGAGGGGAAAATATTTGTTCCTCAGCTTTGACCACACGCTGACAGTAAATCCAATACCCTTTGTATTTACTTTTCCATACCTTGTTGGGTTTTTTTATTTCTTATTACTTCTGGTTTTAGACAATGCAAATCATAGCCCAGTCATTGTTTTTGGTGGTATAAAGAAGGGAGGGGAAGATTCTCAGATGCAAGAGGAAAGAATGACTATATGGTACTTCAAAAACCAGCATGCACATCAGGAGTCTCTGGTCACTGTGGCTTCTAGGGAGAGAGATGGCAGGGAGGGTCATCACTGTGTGGGCATACCAGTGGGGGCACTGGGTTTCCTCTGCCAGAGTGTCTGCACAGCGACAATCCCAACCCCCTTTCCCTCCCAGTAAGCTGCCGTGACACAAGAACCAGAAGCCCAAGGATTCACCGCTGCTTCTCTCTGCCATCTCCACCTCCCCAAGGATTCTTTCAACAAAGAAAACAAATGCTGAACCCTTCGGGTTACAAACGCTGCTAACCAGGAAGTGGTTGCTCCAGGTTAAGAACTTTGCCCCAGGATAATAATGGAAATCGCGCAGCAGGAGGCCCCATTAGCAAAAGCATGCCTCAGGTTAAGAACCGTTTCAGGGTTAAGAACGGACCTCTAGAACGAATTAAGTTCTTAACCCAAGGTACCACTGTACTAAAATGTTGACTTCCTCTCCTGGATTGTTTGCTGCTTCCATGCTTCTTCACTCTTTGTTCTGGGCCATTTTATCTTTGCTAAATCCCTAAATTTGGGGAGTGGCATACATTATATATGCAACTGTGATGTGCCTATGTCTGCTCTGAGCATCGTCCTGGACCTTTTACAGTTGCAGAGGACAGCCCAGAGCAAAAGGGGGCAACGGCGGAAGTAGCCCCCTGTTTTTGTGCCTTCCTGTCTTTTATAAGTGAACTGCAGCGGGAATGAACAGTTTACATTCCTTTTTTTAAAAAGTGTTTTTCTTTCCCCTGCCCAGGAGTTTCCTGGTTTGTTTCGGCAAAGGATTTGAAACCTGACTTCAAAAAGGGAAGCGGATCCAGCTACGTTTCTGATCCTGGTCCCTCCTGGTTTGAAGCCGTGCCTGACCCAAAGCCCTGGCGAGAGCCCCTCCGGGAGAAAAACTGGCAGGAGGATCACAGCGAGCTGCAGGTGCGTCTGATGGCTCCACCGAGAGACGTTGAGAATAAGCCGCCCCCACCTTTTGTGAAAATGACACTGCAGGTAAAATCCAGGCTCTGCCTTGGACTGCTTGCCTGGCTTTGGCTGTCCCATGTGCGAGTGCTTTGGTTGTCAGATGAACTGAGCCACCCATCAGTTTAACAGATGCAGCATGTGTGCCTCTGTGTGTATATCTATGTGTCTGTCTGTGTGGCGTAGTGGTTAAGAGCGGTAGTCTCGTAATCTGGTGAACTGGGTTCACGTCTCCACTCCTCCACATGCCGCTGCTGGGTGACCTTGGGCCAGTCACACTTCTCTGAAGTCTCTCAGCCCCACTCACCTCACAGAGTGTTTGTTGTGGGGGAGGAAGGGAAAGGAGAATGTTAGCCGCTTTGAGACTCCTTAGGGTAGTGATAAAGCAGGATATCAAATCCAAACTCTTGTCCCCTTCTCTCTTTAAAATATGTAAGGGCTGGACAGGAATAGAATAGAACAGCCTTTCTCAATCTGTGGCTCCCCAGATGATGTTGGACTACAACTCCCATCACCCCTAGCTAGCAAGGGAGGATGGGAGTTGTAGTCCAACAACATCTGGGGACCCACAGGTTGAGAACCGCTGGAATAGAACCTACTTTGCCTTCCGTTCTACCCTTATTCTAACTCTAATGGCTCCAAGGGCCGGTCTTTTTCTGCCAGATGGGGCCATCCTTCTTTAGCATAAACATGGCATGCGCCAGCAGGGAAAAGATGGTGCTAACAACTGCTGGGCAGGTGGGGTTTGCACAGCCCCCACTGGTTCAGATGATGGAATAGGGGAAATGTAAAGCTGTTTGTCTGCATTCACCAGTTTATCCCTGCCTTCAAATTCCAGTCCAAATCGAACAGTTCTCACGCTTCCTGCGCTTGACATTACGCTTCTGATGGCAAGGGGGTTGTGAGGATGGGGGAAGCGCTCTCATCCTGCTTCCATTGCGCTTTGGCAGATCTGGCAGCCAGCAGGCTCTTGTGAAGCCCCCTCCCCAAGACTAATATTGAACCGTGTTAATTTCCCCATGTATCCATTTCATTTACAGTCACCGAGAGGCCTCCCTCATTGCACGGAGACTTCTTTTTGTCCCAAGTGCGCACTCCAACCAGCTTGTTTAAGCTTAAGTACTTATCCCTTTTACAAAAATGTAGCTACGCTTATTCCCAGCCTGGTATCTTTCCAATTGGTTGTCCAAGATCAAAGCATTTGTTAACAAGACCCACAGAGAGATCCCTTCGCCTTTTGTAGATGCAATATTCTGTACATTGCGTGCATAATTCTCTTCTTCTGAGGCATGCTTTCAGTGCTTTGTTAATGGGGTTAGCTATTTTTGACATTTCCTCAGCCTTAAGTGGAGCTTCTGAAGCAGCTCTTATTTTTGTTTTCCAACTCAGGAGTCTCTTGCACTGCACCGTCCTGATTTCATCTCCAGCTCCGGGGAGCGTGTGAAGCGCCTCAAGCTAATAATGGAAGAAAGGAAACTGCAGAGCATGCTCCAGGGCGAGAGAGAAGAATTATTTAATGCTCGTGAAGAGAGAAGAAGTTTCCATCTTCCTAACAGAGGTGCCTTCCTTATTACAGACATGGGTCGCATGCCAAAGGAGGGGTGTTATGCGTCTGGGAAAAGCTGGGCAAGGCCTTTGCTGCTGAAGAGGCAAGCCATTGCTGAAGAGGCAAGCAGCTTGTCTCTCTAAGCTCCCTATTGTTGTAAACAAAAATATGCCCTTTTCCCTTATGGGGTATCCAAGAGCCCATATAGAGTCCTTACATAGGTTCCCTATTGGTAGGAGAGAATAACAGAGGCCAACCAGAGAATATTGAGAAGGAAAACAGCTAGTAAGCTTGATCTTTATTGATCTGTTGCAACAGAGTGCTCCCCTCACCCACAGGAGAGAGGAGGAACCCAGAAAAATGGCGCGCAAGGCCTTATGAAGACTTTTGAAATTCCCACCCTGTAGATCAAGACCACCCCCAGAAACATCATACACACATCACAGGAGGGGTGTAACCTAAGACCACCCCTCAGATACATCACACCTACATCACAGAAAAGGCGGCCTTAAAACAGAAATTTGAATGTTGTTTTTCTCCTGTCGTTGTTTATCTCCTGTCTGCCAGGTTACTTGATTGGATTGCCTGGGAAGCCTGGCTAGTCTTTTGTAGTGATAAATACTTAGTTCCTGGACCAGGTCACAGGCTCACACCCTATTCAAACACAGACATACCCTTAAGACAGGATTTGTAAAGGAAAAGACAATGGGGAGGCTTTTCCATTTTCATTTGACCTTGCAGAGAAAACATTTGGTCAGTTTGGGACAGTTTGCAAATCAAAATGGTTCCAGGTTGGTCTTCCTGTGCTGATCTATGTATGTGCTTGGTTGGTACACTTATGAACATTTAACATATATCTAAGACCTCAAAGTTCCTATCACACTATGCATCCCAGTTGTTGGGAATCACACGTGGAGAGAGGGCTGTGGCCTTCCCATTGCGGCATCTGGTTCGCCACTGTGATAACAGGATGCTAGACTAGTCAGGCCACTGGCCTCATCCAGCAAGGCTTTTCTTACATCCTTCCATTTGGCAGCGGAAACTGCCATACCAGAAACAGCAAGCAGCCAGACTCTGTGTGCGCCGCTCGCTCCTACACAGTTATATCACATCTTTGGACCAAGGCTGTCATATATTTCCCTAGCAGCAATGATGGACACATGTCGTGTCTCTCTGTAGGGCACGGCATGGTGTAAGTAACCAGTTTTATATTCAGAAAAGGCTAATGGGCAGTGTGCTGTAGGCTTGGAGAGCTGCCCTGTTTTAACCCCAAACAACTAAAAATAGATTCAACCTGTGACTGAGCATTGCATGGCCATTTTTCTGCAGAGTGGCTGTTCATAGACGATTGTTGCCATGGATTTTTCTTTCTTTAGCAAAGCACATTCTTGCGGTGGTAAAGGGTGTTAGAAAAGCAGCAAAGCTAGAGCAAGTGCCATTTTTGCTCCACTTGCCCAGGGTATGCTAATTTTACTTAGCTAATTACTTAGTTGCAAAATCGTGAGGGGGGTGTGTGTGTGTGTATGTATGTATATATTTGTATTATAGTAGTAGTTTTTAAAAAACAACAACAAACCACCAAGAGCATTCCACCAGTTCGGAGCCATCACTGAGAAGACCCTGGCCCTGGTGGAGGATAGTCTGACTTCCTTAGGGCCTGGGACCTCTAAACTATGATTATTCATGGACCTTAAGATCCTCTGCGGGGCAGACCAGGAGAGGCGGTCCCATAAATATGAGGGCCCTAAGCTACAAAGGGCTTTAAAGGTCAAAACCAGCACCTTAAACCTGACCCTCTACGGCTTCTGTGGTCCAAAAAGGGTCAGGAGGGAGGAGCCCCCGTCTCCTGGTCAGATTGGCACAATGGTCTTTACATCAGAGGATGAAGCACAAGACCAGGGGTTGGCAACCTGCGTCCCATGGGCCACAAGCGCCCCATGGGGGTCATTTAAACAGCCCACAAGCCACCCCCGAACTGAGCCGCCCACTCGGTGAGTCCCCGCGCACTGCGCTAAAACAGCGCAGAGCGGGGACTTGCTTCCACGGTGCCGGAAATTGCGTCTGCGCAGACGCAATCCAGCCCACAGAGCGATCTCCGCAGGAGTGAACCAGCCCAGGTGAGGTAAACCTTGCTGACCCTTCACAAGACCTTGTTTCTGAGGACGGATGTCTCTCCCATGGCCCACTCTTAGCATCACCAGATCTTACGAGCTTCTATCTTGGCACAGCATCTTGGAGGATGAGATCAGTTGTCTGGCGCATTAACGTTTTGAATTGTGCTGTACTCATCATTTTTCCTGCTTTGTTTAGACTACAGGGCTATGCAGAAGAGAAGAGCAATTTCCAAGAATGAAATGGTTCAGAGATCAAAACGGTAAGGCTGCTTTTGATTGGAGGACAACCCTGTTATATTTTTGCATATGGATAAACCTCACATATTTATTTTCTAACGCGAGTTAGAAAATGAACAAGGCACAAGATTGGCCGTAGATATTGGGGCCTGAAAATCCAAAGCACATAATTTCTCCACCCCTAATTTACCTGGGGCACAACCCAGCAGAAATGTCATTCCCTGGAGGTGAAAGTGGCAGGCCTGGAGAAGTTAAAAGAGGCAGAGAGGTTGATGGATAGGGCCTTTGGGTTCATGAGAGCTGCATCCCACTCCCAGGATGACAGCTCCCTCGCTGTGATGGAAAAGGTCTTGGGGAAGTGTTATGGGTAAGCAGTATAGTAGACAAATTTGCTGATTGATACCGAAGGACAGTTAATAATAGCAGAATCCGAGAGCATCCAATGAAGCTGATTGTTGGAAGATTCACGACAGACGAAAGGAGGGAATCATTCACACAGCACATTGTTAAAGTGCGGAACTCCCTCCCTCAAGAATTATCGATGGCCACCAGCTTGGATGGATTAGATAAATTAATGGACAATAAGACTGACTATGGCTGCTAGCCACCGTGGCCACGCCTGCCAGCGCCTGCCAACCTAGCAGTTCGAAAGCACTCCTGGGTGCAAGTAGATAAATAGGGACCGCTTACTAGCGGGAAGGTAAATGGCGTTCCGTGTGCTGTGCTGGCTCGCCAGACGCAGCTTGTCACGCTGGCCACGTGACCCGGAAGTGTCTGCAGACAGCGCTGGCTCCCGGCCTATAGAGTGAGATGAGCGCACAACCCTAGAGTCTGTCAAGACTGGCCCGTACGGGCAGGGGTACCTTTACCTTTTTACCTTTACCAGCTTGGATGGATTAGATAAATTAATGGACAATAAGACTGACTATGGCTGCTAGCCACCGTGGCGACGGTTTAGCTCAGGCATAGGCAAACTCGGCCCTCCAGATGTTTTGAGACTACAATTCCCATCATCCCTGACCACTGGTCCTGCTAGCTGGGGATGATGGGAGTTGTAGTCCAAAAACATCTGGAGGGCCGAGTTTCCCTCTGCCTGGTTTAGCTCCACTGTTGGAGGCAGGGTGCTTCTGAATACCAGTTGCTAGAAATTGCATGTGGGGAGAGTGCTGCTGTGCTGGGGTCCTGTTTGTGTGGTTCCCAAAGGCTTCTGTTTGCCCACTGGCCTAGATGGGCCTTTGGCTTAGTCCATTAGAGCTGCTCACAGGCTATCTTGAAATGAACAGGAGATGTGTAAAACACCTTTCTGCTGGCTTGTGCACCATGGGTAAGACTAGTGATGTTAAATTCTTGAGCATAATCTTTTGGAGAATATTCTCGATTAATGAGAATATTAGCGAATTTTCATTTAAATTAGGAGAATATTCATTTTAATGCATTGAAAATGATATAATTAGTTAATATACATGTTTATTCATGGGTAAACTTGTTCAGATGGCAACCAAAAACTGTACAGATACTTTTATTCAATGGGGTAATGCAGTGAATTCACATTCTTTGATTTTTTGCACCAAACTTGAAATTGAAAATTCAACGTGAATGACTCAGGTTAATCACTAAGCCTGCCACTAACCCGTATATTTACCATCAACTTTGAATTCTAATTATGTTGTGTATGTATGAAATGTAGCTTTTAAAGTAAAAGGAATTTTTAAAAAACACCTCAGGTCCACTACTTGAGTATGTTCTTTTAATAAGCATATCTACATGATACAGTATGTTCAGTACAACACTAATAAAATCAATATAAAGTTTAAAACAAAGGCTATCATTTCCAGAAAATAAAACACAAATAATCAGTAATGACAAGTTTCATAACATCAGAAATGCAAAGTACTATCTGCTTAGACAAGTAAGGCAACACACAACATATTTAAATTATAACTGATAAATTGTCACAAGAAAGAAATTTATTTTAAAAATAGGCTTTAAGTAACAAGTCTCAAATGTTTATAAATTTATATTGAACTCCTCAAACATTATTCATTTCTTACCCTGGCAATATCACAGCTGGACTTATTATTTACTAGATTTTTTTAAATGTGGGTTGTAAAACTGGTTCTTACATTAGAATTTACAGTTTGTGGAGAATATTCTCCAGAGAATTTTCTAGCAGAGAATATTCTCGAGAATATTCTCATTCTCAAGAATATTTTCCGGAGAATATTCTCACCTCATCACAAGGTAAGACCTGTCTCTTAATCTTCAGTGGTACCCTAAATTATCTCCGTGGGGCACACATCTTGCCTTGTTCTGCAGTTAGGCCATCTCTGGATATCTCTCCTGTGGGAACAAGAGTTACAGGAACAGAAATCTTTCCAGCTTTGGCTATACATACATTTTTAGCCAGGGTATTTTAATGCCTAAAGAATAGGGATTTGTTTATGGTATGTTGTAAAGCCTGATCTTCTGTTCAGCAGTAAACTGGCTTTGACTTCGTTTGTTTATTAATGGCAGTTTTCCAAATATGTATTATGTGCATAGGAGGGAGGGATCAGACAGATGATCAGGTTACTGGATTGTGGGGACAGATGAAGTGGTGAGAACGTAATCACCGAGGGACACATCCTGTCTTTATTCCAAATGAGCTGTTTGTTTTACTCTTCTCTGCAATATTTATCAGAACCCCCCCAGGGAATGTTCAAGCAGAAAACTCTTCTTTCTTTCTAACAAGCTCATTCCTTTAACTTCTAAAGGGGATTTGATAGATACTTCATTTTTGGAGCTGGGAATCGGGGGGTGTATTTTAAGGAACGCGCTGGGAGTGATTCACAGCCGTTCTCCTGCGTAAGCGTAATTACTCTTTATTCTGCTTCTGCAACCGTTCAACCATCATTTTGCTTTTCCTGCAATCTTTACCGAGTTCTTTGCCGTCATTCCTTTCTCTTGGGCAGGGGGCCTTGGGAGATGTCGGAGCTTGAAGCACAGCTCTCTTTGCACATCTGTCCCGTGCGATGAACCACCAGGGCTCTCTCTGACTTACGGCATCTTCTCACTAGGACAAACTATGAAAGCTTTCTGGGAAAGGCTGGGAATTTGTCTGGGTAAAAGTAACCCTTTCCTAGCTTTGACTCCTTGGCTTGTCCTCCCAGGTCTGCCCTCCACCTTGACTGTTGACTCCTGGCTCCCAGCTCCCACTGGACAGCTGCTAACAGCTGGAATCCTGGCTGTTGCTAGAGCCCTGTGAAGCAATCGTAGCTGTCAGCTGTCTTTACGGGGCCTATGGGCTTAGGAACCTTGCCCATCCTGATTCAAAACCAACACCCTTTGAAATGTTCAGTTTTTGTGGGTGGAGGGTGGCAGTTCAGGTCCAGTCCCTGGCTAGAAATCCTGTAAATCTAGGTTTCAATCCTGTTACAGCCCTTGTGCCTTGTAGCCCAGTCCAGCCTTGTGCAGGTCTACAGTCTTGTCCCTGACATCCTTCGACAGTTCTTTGGTCTTGGTCATGGTGGCTACTTTGGAATCTGCTGGATTGATTGCTTCTGTTGACAGGTGTCTTTTGTACAGGTACTGTAACAAGCTGGGATAACAGGTAAGACCTCTCCCTTACAGCAGGTGCTGCTTATCTCAGCTCGTTACATACAGTGAAGATACCAGGTAGCATGACATCTGGCTGGTTGAGAGGGGATCAGATATTTCTTTCACTCATTATAATGCACATCAATATCTGACTTTTGTCTTCTGGCTTTCTGGGGGTTTTCTGTTGTTATTCTGTCTCTCACAGCTACAATAAAGCTACCATTAAAATTATGGACTGGTCATTTCTTTGTCAGAGGGCAAATGGGCAAATTTAGCAGGGGATCAAATACTTTCCCCCCTCACTGTAAATGAGCCAAATAAGGAATTCTGTAGAATGGTCTGGGGCCGTTTCTTAGAGCAGGACAACCCTTGCCACTCTTCTTTGTCATACACTTTGTGTCTGGTTTCTGTGAGGCTAGCAAGCCTGATCAGTTGGAAAACCACAACTGAGAGAGGTCAGTTGTTGCAATTTGAGCCCACAGCAGGTCCTGAATCTGGGATTTGTCAAAAAACTTTCAGCCTTGCGCTGGCCAAAGAAGAGCAGTCAGGCTCAAAAGAGTCTTTTAATCAGTTTTATGCTTCAGCAGATCACCTGAGATCCAGCAGGTCAGGCCTGTGTTTCGGCCCCAAGTACCAAAGAGATCACCTTGGCTCTCTTGCTTCTCCACATAACCCTCTTGCTTCTCTATATAACCCTGCACTCACTCAGCAGTGCAATGGCTGATTCATTTGGGAGCGATTTCTTTAGAGTAATCCCTTCATTTTATTTTTGCTCTCTTAGCATCTATGAGCAGCTGCCTGAGGTGCGAAAAAGACGGGAAGAAGAAAAGAGAAAATCCGACTATTCTACAAATCGTTTGAAGGCTCAGCTTTATAAAATGGTAGGTGCTTTGATTTGGTTTAATATTTGTGCTGCTCTTCCAACAGCTAATGTCGAGCTCAAAGCGGCACGCAGTAATCACGGTAGAATTAAAACAACAGTCAAACGCAGTAGCATATAAATAAAGCAAACAACAGCTGCAAGACAATTAATACAATTCCGTAAAGTCATAGTAACTCATTGTCCTGCTGAGATACTTTCCCCAGCCCCCCCTTGTTTCCACAACAGCCCAGTCTTGTCCAAGTGTCCTTTGGAGAGCAAGAGAGTTAAGGGAAGTTCATTGCATTGGGATAAACAGAATTTCCCCAGTGATCAGATGGTCACAATGAACTGTTTCCTGCAGTTTCCATCTAAAGATCTTGAATTGCTGCCCAGATTAGCTACATGCATCAAATATAACGACCTTCCCCCTGCCCCAGTCCCTAAAATCTGTAGAGACGCCAAAAGCAGCCACAGCAAATTTGTTGGAATGAAGAGTGCTCTTGTTCTGGGGGCCACTGAGATCCAGATGGGCCGCCAAAGGCCTGGTGGAACAACTCTGTCTTGCAGGCCCTGTGGAAAGATGTCAAGTCCCGTAGGGCCCTAGTCTCTTGGGACAGAGTGTTCCACCAGATCGGAGCCACAGCCGAAAAAGCCCTGGCTCTAGCTGAGGCCAGCCTAACCTCTCTGTGGCCTGGGACCTTCAAGATGTTTTTATTTGAAGACCGTAAGTTTTTCTGTGTGGCATACCAGGAGAGGCGGTCCCGTAGGTATGAGGGTCCTAGGCCGTATAGGGCTTTAAAGGTTAAAACCAGCACCTTAAACCTGACCCTGTACTTCACCGGGAGCCAGTGCAGCTGGTATAGCACCGGGTGAATGTGATCTCGCAGCGAGGACCCTGTAAGGAGTCTCGCTGCAGCATTCTGCACCCGCTGGAGTTTCTGGGTCAGTCTCAAGGGCAGCCCCACGTAGAGCGAGTTACAATAATCCAGTCATTTTGGATTACAAAAATTACAATAATTTTGGCAGACAAGAGGCTCTCTTGCAATGCCCTGCAATGCCACTTTTCATCCCTCCATATACCGCCCGGGTCAACAAAACAAGCACTCATTTAAAAGGTGATGTTGCCTGGGAGGGGCAGAGGGAGGGAAACTGCCCAGGTATGCTGCTGCCATGCGCCAGTGCAATCAGGAACGCCTGGCTTCTGCACATGAACATGTGTAGTTGCTTCCTCCTAAGTTGAACCGGTTGCAGTGCCATCTGCATAAAGGGACGCGGGTGGCGCTGTGGTCTAAACCACTGAGCCTCTTGGGCTTGCCCCGCGACGGGGTGAGCTCCTGTTGCTCTGTCCCTGCTCCTGCCAACCTAGCAGTTCGAAAGCACACCAGTGCAAGTAGATAAATAGGTACTGCTCTGACGGGAAGGTAAACGGCGTTTCCGTGAGCTCTGGTTTCCGTCACGGTGTTCCGTTGCGCCAGAAGCGGTTTAGTCCTGCTGGCCACATGACCTGGAAAGCTGTCTGTGGACAAACGCCGGCTCCCTTGACCTGAAAGCAAGATGAGCACCCCAACCTCATAGTCGCCTTTCACTGGACTTAACCATCCAGGGGTCCTTTACCAGTGCCATCTACTCTGACCGGCAACAGCTCTCTTTAAGATCCCCAGCTGAAGCCTTTTCTGACTCTCCTACCTAAAACGCTTTGAACGATTCTGGGATTGAACCTAGTTCTTATAACATGTGCTCTACCACTGAACTACATCTTTCCCTTTAAACATTTGAAGCTGCAGTACAAGGAAGGTGGACATTGGTCCATCTAGTCTACTCTTCTCTGGCCAGTGATGGCTCTGCTAAGGGCTGGGGGGCAGAGAGTCTCCCCCAACCCCCAGTCCTACTTCCTTTTAACTGAAGTCATCAGAGATTGAACCGGAGACCTTCAGCATGCTAATCCTGCAGCCTTTCCAGGCTTTAAATAGAAAATAATAATAATAATAATAATAATAATAATAATAATAATAATAATTTATACCCCGCCCTCCCCAGTCAAGACTGGGCTCAGGGCAGCTAACACCAAATATAAAAACAATTGATTGAAATACAGCTTAAAAAACAAGATTAAAATACAACATAAAAACATTAAAATGCAGCCTCATTTCAGTGGAAACTCAAATCAAAAACTTTTGGGGGGATGAAAACGTCAAGTCTTCACCAAGGCTAACTATCCAGACTGGTCCTACATGGGCCAGAAAAAAGCCAGGGAAGTTAGAATATTTATTTTAAAAATAAAAACGGAGGGGCAGGGTTGGGATCTCTTATATCAGGGGGTGTGTCAAGCTTGTGGGGCTCCCAGTTGTCATTAGATTACAGTTTCCTTCATCCTTGTCCATTGGCCATGCTGGCTGCTGGGCCAATGGGAATTGGAGCATAACAACATCTGGAGAACCCCCACACAAACCTGCCCTATAGGTTTGCATTGACGGCGTTTGATGCCCCAAGTAGATTCCTAAAGTAGCTTGGAGGGTAAGAAGCCATAACGGATCTTGTAGGGACAAGGTTCCTGGAGAAAGCTCTTCTCACGGCCCGGGATTTAATGATGCGTTCAGCAAAGCGGCTGCATGTTAACTGTTCCCGTACATAAAATGCAATTTGCAACGCAGAAAAGGTCCATAAATGCTCAGCGTAAGCATCTCGGTAGCTGGCAATCCCTCACTTTTATGAAATCGCGTTATGGGCCCCCATAAATGCAAGTTTTGCACTGCAATTTAATACAAACAAAATAAAAACGGCATTGTTGACCTTCTTGCCTCTGCTGCTGGCACAGGGAGTGGACTGGGAAGAATGTCAAAGCAGAACTGATTGAACTTTCCTTGCTGTTTGCTTGTGTGTGTGTGTGTGTGTGTTTGGTTTTGGGAGGGAGAATTGAGGTCGTTATTAAGAGTGCTGTGAATATTTAATTACTAATTAATTTATAAATTTCGGTGCAGCCCTTTGTTCAGTGATCACAAGGCAGTTTACAATATAATCACAGGGCGGTTTGCAATATAACATTAGGGAAAGCCCATGGGCTTCTTCCCATTGCACGTGAAGTCCTTCCACAAGCCAGAAGCCCAGTGAACACAACAGAGTGCAGGTGAAGCTCTAAATCAAGACCTCACTAAATCCTGACCAGGTGTGCACCCTGGACTAAAATATTCTATATCCAGTGGAGTTACACCCACCAGAACAATGCTGTGAATTTTGTAAATAAAAAAAGACCAGCCTTTATCAACAGACCCCACCCCCCAGCCTGTATTTTAACATGCGTTTAAATTAAAGTGTCATCAGAACGTCTCGTTAAGAACCAACATTTGCAAGGAATCAGTCTTTTAATGTGGCAGGTGACTCCCTGCGTGTTAACATCAAGCAGGCGTTTTTTCTGCACTATTTGACACCACCAAAAAAAAGATTCTGTTTCAGCAAGCCATGGTAAACCACCAAAGTTGGAAAAACAGGGGGGAAATATAGTTGTGAATTTGACTTTTTGCCACAGGGCGGCACTGCAGTAAACATAATGAAATGGCCACAGATTCAAAGCCTGCAGCGTCCCACCATGGCAATGAGGGCCAGCAATTCATAGCTTTAAAAAACCAAATTCTTCTAGGGCAGCACAAGCCGAAATGGCTCTTTGGACCCTGGCCTTTTTTGTTGACTGTGTTTTAACCGCTTTGATAATTTCTCCAAAAGCTAGTTGTCCATGCTGCCGGAGGCAGTATGCTTCTGAATACAGTGGTGCCTCGCAAGACGAAATTAATCTGTTCCGCGAGTCTCTTCGTCTTGCGGTTTTTTCGTCTTGCGAAGCACGGCTATTAGCGGCTATTAGCGGCTTAGCGGCTTTAAGAAAAAGGAAACAAACTCGCAAGAACTCGCAAGACGTTTCGTCTTGCGAAGCAAGCCCATAGGGAAATTCATCTTGTGGAACGACTCAAAAAACGGAAAACTCTTTCGTCTTGCGTGTTTTTCGTCTTGCGAGGCATTCATCTTGCGAGGCACCACTGTACAATTTGTTGGGAATTGTGCTGGTCCCGTGGGTTACCCGAGAGGCGAGGTCCAAGTCTGGTCCGTGGTCAAAGGTGCAACGGGAAGGCAGTCCGTAGTAGCTGAAGCTGGGTGCAGGGCGGGGAGTCGGGTGAAGTCAGGAACAGGCTTGCAAGCAGGGAGCCAGGGCAGGTCAGGAGCTCCGGCACGAAAGCAGGACAGGGTTCAGGCAGGAACTAGCCACCAACAATGTTCCTCCTGCAACTTGGGACTGGGGCTGGCCGGCTTTTATCTGCCCCGAGGCATAGGGCGGCCCCGATCCTCAGGTGACTCGCCTCTCCTGGCCTGGAGGCGAGCACTCCTCCTGCGTGAACTTAGTTCCCTCTGCCTCTCTGCCCTGAGCCTCTGCAGCTCAGGAGAGGCTGGAGGGTTCCCGGACCCAGAGGCAACCTCAGCTTCCTATGACGGGGCTGAGAGTGGAGCACCTGCAGGCAGTGGGTCCTCCATCACCTCAGGAGCCAGAGCAGACTCAACTGGTGCCTGCACCTGAGGATCCAGCACAGGTGAGGACCCTTCAGGCTCAGGCCCCAGCCCTGGTTCAGCTGGTTCTGGAGGCGGGGACTCCTGTGCAGGCTGGGATCCCTCAGGTTCAGCATCCGAGTCCGAATCCCAGGCCATCACAGGAATCACAATTGGGAGAGTGTTGTTGCTTTCAGGTCCTGCTTGCAGGCCTTCCCATAGACATCTGGTTAGCCACTGTGAGAGCAGAGTGCTGGGCTAGAAGGACTTTTGGACTGAACCCCAGAAGCTGGGCTCTTGTCACGTCCATAATTTCCTGTGCTACACCTTTTTTCGGCTCTCTCCCATCCTCTCAAGGCTTCCGTTTCCACGGCACAGGATGGGTGGGCAGAGGATGGGTGGGCTTGGTGACAGTAGGAGGTTTGCCGTCTCTGCATGGGTATCATTATGGCATCGCAGTGATGATAAGCCTAACAGATTTATCGTTTTCTTTCTCCGCAGAAAGTCACCAACCATATTTTGGGAAGAAAAGTACCTTGGGAGTGATGTCGAAAACAAGCAAGCAACCTTTTATTTCAATAAAACCTATCACACCTACTGAATATTTCACCACCTTCCCTGTTTGAGATGAAAAGTGTGTGAACAGATTACTCGGGTGGTTTTTCCAATTATGCAAAAGAGGTTTCATTAATGTTAATTAGTATTTTGAGGTGTCCTTCCTAGCATAATCTGACTGCTTCTACATATTTTGAATCTCAAGAGGATTAAAAACAGGTTTCCGATAAATAATTGACTTTTAGTAGTGTGCATTTACTCTCCGAGATCATAGTAGCTTAGAATTAATTTATCAGAACAATGCAATCAGTGGGTTTTGTTTGTTTGTATATGTGTGTGTGTGGTTGTTTGTTAATTTATTTGATACTTGAATTTTGGGGTGTTTTGTACTTTTTTATAGTTGAGTTGCTCCCCTGTATCTTTCTTTTTCTACTACTGAAAAAATTAAATATCTGAAGACTCTTCCAGTACTTCTACTTTTCGTTTTCTTTTGGCGTTGCTCCATGTGAGGGTATACAGGGTGTTAGGAGAGGGGTAGTACTTCTGGCGGGGAATCTGTCGTGCTCCTTCTGGGGTAGTTTGTTGACCTTTGGTCCCCACTCTGCACTCGGCTCTCACCTTTGGCTCCTAGAAACTGCCAGCATGCGACAGCAGCCACACCTAGGGAACAGCTTTGACTGGCCGGCTAAAGCAGGTGATGGGAGCTGATGGGTCTCAAACCCTCTGTGAGTCAGGGGCTTCCCCTGTATGAAGACAGGCTTCTGTAGTTTGAGCAGACGAGACCAATAGTGGGTCCAGTGGTTAAGAAGGGAGTTTCTGCCCATGTTGTAGAGGGAAGCATGGGGCAGGTGAGGCTTGTCAGCCTGGGAAGGGAGCCCATCTAGGAGAAGGAAAACTCTGAACCTAAACCTCCGCTGCTTTGCGGGTTATCTTTGGAAGGAGAAAAGATTAAGGGTTAAGCCCAACATGATGAGAGGCAGGACTGAGATTTGGATATGCTTCGAGGTTCAGACTGTGGGAAGCCGTAAAATCAAAATTACAACTCGGAAGACAATTTGATCTTTTTTTTAATTTAATTTTATTTTTTTTATTGGCTTATGATTTGATATGTTAATTGGATGTTTTTTATTGGAAAATTAATAAACGCTCTAACAAAACAAAAAGAGCTAAGCCCTACATAAGAGGGGTCCCTAAGACGGTTGGATGGCGCCTGGTGCACCTCCTTCTGGCAACTCCTGGTGCCAGGCGTCTTGCTCTGCTTTCCTGTGGGCCCCATCAGCGAGGCCGAGAGAGAGGTCTTGTCAGCTGGGCAGCCCAGGACCTCCAGGCTTGCCCCTCAGGGAGGTCACTTTGCTGCTGCTAACACAGCAGTTTGACTTCACCCCCGAAGGCACACTCCATTGTCTCTTGATGCAGGTGCATGCCAACATGTGGGAGGCAGGGGAAAAGAGATTTCTGGTTTCCAGGGTTTCTGCAGCTAGGCTTAGTGCTTCCTTAAAGTCATCCTCATTCATCTTTACCCTGGCTTTTGGTATTGAGATACCTATTTTCAGGAATCACCTTATTTCTGTGATTGTGTTTTAAACTGTGATAAGGATACAGTGGTACCTCGGGTTAAGAACTTAATTCATTCCGGAGGTCCATTCTTAACCTGAAACTGTTCTTAACCTGAAGCACCACTTTAGCTAATGGGGCCTCCCGCTACCGCTGCACAATTTCTGTTCTCATCCTGAAGCAAAGTCCTTAACCCGGGGTACTATTTCTGGGTTAGCGGAATCTGTAACCTGAAACGCCTGTAACCCGAGGTACCACTGTAATAATGTTGAATATACCCATGCAAAAAACTTTGTTTCTCTGCTCCTTACTAAGGATATGTTTGTGGCTCCTCACAGCCGCTTTCCTTTTCTTCTTGATTGCATCTTACGCTTCCTTCCCTCCGAACTGCGTGGGCTCTCCTTTGGGCAAAGTATACTTTTTTTATAGGGTTGAATCCTGGCCAAAGGCAGCTGTGCATCGTTCTGTGAGTTGCCTGTGCGCACACCGAGGACATTGCAAAAAGCAGGGTGGGGTTCAGTTTGATGGGGATTGGAAGTAGCTGGAGCTATGCAGGGTCAACAGAAAAATGGGCCCTTTTGGGATTGGTTTGAACAAGGGAAAACAAATTTCCATGGCAGATTGAAGAGAGGTCCACTACGGCAGGTCTGTGCTAGTACACATCAGATTGATCGTGCAAAACTAAGTACATGTTTAATCCACACAGGAACCTTCTATATTCCTGCAAACAATAGGCATAACAGCATATAAATCTTAATTTAATTGCTGTTTAATTGTAAATGCTGACCTCTTATTAGGTTGGCTAAACCAGGTGAGGGTAGCCAATGGGTCTTAAATCCTCAGCGAGTTAGGGACTTGTCTATCCCCTGCAAACAAAGACAGACTCTGGCAGATTAAGCGGATGAGACTAATAGTGGGTCAAGAAGGCGGTTTCTGCACCTGCTGTAGCGGTAAATAGAGATGATAAACCCTGAGGAACAATCCATACCCCCTAAGGCTAAGGAGTTAACCCTGTACAAATCTGGAGTCCCTAAGACGGTTGGATGACGGTTCTGTGCCTCCTTCCGGCAACTTCTGCAGCCAAGCTGGTTCCAAATGTATTATTTTGCTTTCATTGGGACAACACCAGCAAGGCCCAAAAGGAGGGGGGGAGGATCTTGCCGTCCGGACAGCCCAGGACCTCCAGACACACTGCCCAAGTTTGCGCCCTGCAGAAGTCACTTTGGTGCCGCATCCCAAGTCTGCATTTCCAGCATGTTCACACTCCTCTCTCGGCAATGTCTACACTGGCTTGGCCATGTCCACAGCATGGAAGATGGCAGGATCCTCAAGGAGCTCTCTCTGTGGGGAGCTGGCTTCAGCCACCAGGCCCGTTGGCAGACCGACTCTGCGTTACAAAGATGGCTGCAAATGTTACATGAAGGCTGGTAACACCAACTCTGCCGTGCGAGAATCCCTTGCCGACGACCGCAGTTCCTGGAGACAGACAGCAGTGACCAGAGGAGCTCAGAGAGAAGAAAGGTCGTGGTGGATCTGTAGCAGCGCAACCAGACACCTTAATCTGCCCCAGCTGCAACAAAACATGTCTCTCCTGTATCAGTCTCTACTCTGCAATAGTTTAGCTTCACCCCCAGAGGCACACTGCATTGTCTCTTGAGAGATGGATGCCAACAGAATCATAAGTCATCCAGACTGTGATATTTTCAGTTCATCCCCTTGTACAGCACAAGTGATCTAGTCTCCTTTTTAAAAAAATGCATTTTATGACTTTTCTTTAACATAAATCAAACAAACAAAACAAATACAGTAAAGTTCCATAATCTTAAACCCACATTATTTCATCACTCTGCCAAGCGCGGACTTCCCTCCCTCCAACAGGTTTTCATTTTCCACTTTTCTTTCCGCAGTTTCTTAATAACATCCTATCCACATCATAAGATTTATTTTAATCCTGCTACAGTCTTTAGACTTCTACAATTATTATATACTCCACAAATTTACTCCACTCTCTTCTGAACTTTGTTTCCTCTTGGTTACGAATTCTGTAAGCCAATTTTGTTAATTCCACATATTCTACCATTTTTGTCTGCCATTTTTGTCTGTAGGTAATTCCTGTGACTTCCATTTTTGGGCTACCAAGATTCTAGCGGCATGATTCTAGATACATGATTCTAGATACATGAATAATCTCTGGTCTACTTTTCCTATTTCTTCACCTATCAAGCAGCAAAAAAGCTTCCAGTTTTTTTTTGGAATGTATATTTAAATAACTTTTTCAGCTCATTATAAATCATATCCCAAAATTGTTTCATTTTCTCACATGTCCACCACATGTGATCTAGTCTTCTAACTTCTTTGCTCTTTCACAGCAGGAGACTACTGACCTGATTAAACATGACAAAAGTGGAAAGCAAGATACTTGAGGAAAGTCGGGCGTTTGCCTTTAACTGAGAAGTCTTTCTGTTTTCTGAACTCAGATATCTGACTCTTATCTAAAGAAATCTTGAAAGAGGGAGGAGGAGGGAGAAACTGCAGTAGGGCTCTCTTTACACCCATATGAAGTTGGAATGCTCGCTTACCCGCAGAGAACGCAGCCAGACTCTGTAAACAGGAAAAACATCTGAAGGCATGTCAGCTGAATTAGCACATGCAACCCGTGAGCGCTCTAGCCTGCCAGATACTTCTGGCCTAAACTCCCTTGAGTTTGCAAGTTGTACTTGCGAGTAATCTTTTATAAGATATTTCATGTGTCACACTGAAACCCCTGTTCTCTTGCACCGGCGATAGGATTTTATGCTGCGAAAGCGGAATTGCATAAAAGAGCGTTGGGAGTTCACCAGCGGTTCAGTAGCACGATCCATGAAGTTTGCTGCCTGCAAAGTCTTCAAAGATGGCAATGCGGTAGTACAGTGGTACCTCGGGTTCCAGACGCTTCAGGTTACAGACTCCACTAACCCAGAAATAGTACTTCGGGTTAAGAACTTTGCTTCAGGATGAGAACAGAAATCATGCGGCGGCAGTGGGAGGCCCCATTAGCTAAAGTGGTACTTCAGGTTAAGAACTGTTTCAGGTTAAGAATGGACCTCCAGAACGAATTAAGTTCTTAACCCGAGGTACCACTGTACTAGTTTGAGACACCAGCTTTGAACGACAAAGGCCTTCCTCATCTGGTGTGACTGATGTGAGATCTTTCTGCGCCATTGTTTGGTGGTTTAATTCTAAACCAGAAATGATGTGAACTGTACACTCTTAAGAGCCTTCCAGAGAGGAGAAAGGGGGAGAGAGTATGGACCTGGGATCGTGGTGGTTTGAGACGGGACACAGCCCAGAAGAAGAAAGAAACTGGGAAATAATGGATGATGAAGAACCAGGAGCAAGATAGCAGTGAACAGAGAGAGGAGTCTGATGTGTTAGATACAGCAGCTAAGTGACCTGGTGTCTCTGGAGAGCTCCCTCCTTCCTCTCGCACCAGACGTGCCCTTCAGTCTCGGAGCAGAAAGCCAAACAGAGACAGAGAGATTCCCTTGGCAGCCACCATAGGCCACAGGAGGCATTTGAGCCCTAGGAAGTAACTGCCAGGGGGGTGGAACAACAATCTGAGCAACATTGATTCAAAATGTGAGGCTGTAAATCCACATCTTCCTGTGTTTCTGTATAATAATAATAATAATAATAATAATAATAATAATAATTTATTTATACCCTCCCCATCTGGCTGGGTTTCCCCAGCCACTCTGGGAAGCTTCCAACAAAAGATTAAAATACCATGGTCTGTTAAACATTAAAAGCTTCCCTAAAAGTCTGGTAGTTGTTGTTCTCTTTGACATCTTGCGGGAGGGCGTTCCACAGGGCGGGTGCCACCACCGAGAAGGCCCTCTGCCTGGTTCCCTGTGACCTCACTTCTTGCAGGGAGGG